TAGACTGCCGATTAATGTATTTGTAGTGGCAAAAATTGAAGTGAGTGGTGGGTGGCCCTTTTGTGTATGGATTTTTTACGATATAAACATATGATAATTTCACAAATTTCATATATATTTTTATTATGTTTATAATTAATGAGTGGGGTTTCAGTGCAAGTGGATGCTACAAATGCAAATAATAAAATACCAAGATTAAAAACCATATTAACCAAATTAAAATATTCACGAGAAGTTAATTAATATATTCTTAATTATTTTTTCCCTTTTAGGTTAATTTGTAATTGATATGAATATTAAATCTCAATATCGATAGTAATTGTTAAGACTTATAAATATTTTATGCTTAAAATTTGCCACCACCCACTCTTAAAGTTATTAAATTATTTTATAGTTCTCGGGTATAGGCTTTTGTTTTGTCCAACTTTTTTTGTTATTAGCCTATAGACGTTTAAACAACAGTTATCGGACTGTTGTGTCTACAAGTACGTGCGGTTTGCCCACAAACGTGTTAATCCCCTAAATTAAATGGGAGATGATAGACGTACGCTAAATGGCGTATTAGCAAGAAATAAAAGCTATATTTCTTATTTATACTCATTTTCCAAATCGATAAAAAGTTACGAAGCTATATTAACGAAGTTAATTGCCCAATATTTTTTGGTCAAGAAAATGGATGTATAAATAATATCGTGAAAGAAATTCAATTACCTCATAAATAAAAATTAAGATTTACAGTATTTTCAGAAAAAAGTAAATTGACTTTAATTATTGTTAATAGTAAATTAAAAATATAGCTTTTATTTGGGTATGACTAAATACTGCCTTGCTAAACTGCCTTGCTAAAAAGCAATTAATCATAATCAATCATAATTTGATGATATAATATCTTTTAAAAAAAATTTTATCGTTGATTCTTACTGATTCCTGATTTTCTTCTCCCTTTTATTCCCTGCCCAAGAGTTTAATCGCCTCGTACGAAAATTCTATTTTTACTTAATATTATTGGAAAAAAATATATTTACTAGCTTATTACATCTTAAATTTTATTTTTCAATTACAAAATTTAACAAATTTATATCCATAAGAGAGCATTAAATACATAAATATGATAATAATATATTCTTAGGAAACCAGAATAAATATTGGATAGCGCATTTTTTGTATTTGGGTGTAAATACATGTGAAAAACCTAAAAAAAATTTGAAAAATAGAGGTTTCTTTGACATTTAATTAATGAATAGGTTTAGAATCGAAAAATAGTAGAAAGTTTGTAAGGAACATATTGTTGGCGTTATTGATCAAAATCTCTTCATTTTTGGTTTATACGTGTATATTTAGGTGTTAAACATTATCCTAGAAAAAATTTTGAAAATATTATGATTTGACCGAATGAGGAGCTCAAAACCGACCACTCACTAAATATTCGATCGACCAAATTTGGTGTTAATATTATATGGAAAATGATCATTTTTGGTTTATTTATCTATATATGCGTGTAAATCATTATCCCAAAAAATATTTTAAAAATATCGTGATTTGACAGATAACCGATTTGAAACCGGCCCAATGACTAAATACTGCATTGCTGGCGATATCCATGGAAAATTCTTCATTTTTGGTTTATAAGTGAATAATAACGTGTTAAGCATTATCCTAATTAATTTTTTGAAAATATTATGATTTGACCGAATGGCGAGCTCAAAACCGACCACTTACTAAATATTCGATCTACCAAATTTGGTGTTAATATTATTTGGAAAATGTTCATTGGTTTATTTATCTAGAAATACGTGTAAAACATCATCATAAAAAATATTTTAAAAATATCGTGATTTGACAGATAACCGATTTGAAACCGGACCAATGACTAAATACTGCATTGCTGGCGTTATCCATGGAAAATTCTTCATTTTTGGTTTATACGTGAACAATAATGTGTTAAGCATTATCCTAAATAATTATTTGAAAATATTATAATTTGACCGAATACCGAGCTCAGATAATCTTAATTATAATAAATTTTTAATCTCCAAAAAAAAAATAATTTCAATATAAAAAATCATCCCTCCCCTCCCTTCCATCGAAAATTCTTGGGTACCTGTTAATTTTTTATTTCTTAAAAATTGAAAATTTATACAAAATTATAATTTTTTAAAATAATAATTTTTTAATTGGTATATTCCTAAAAAAAATAAATGAAAAATTAATGTGCATAAAAAAATAATAAACAAATAAATAAATAATTTTAAATCTTAGCCGTTAAAATTTATTATTATTTTATAATTATAAATATTCCTTTTGTGATAAAATGCCTGATTTCCTGCTCTATTCGAATCGGTAAGTTTTATAAAATTATAAATAATAAATTTTTTTTATATTAGATTAATAGAGAAGCCATCTCCTGAGGTGCCTCTCGAAATTCTTAAAGAGATAAAAAGTGAAAATATTGTGCCTATGATGTATCCTTCTTCAAATAGACTAGTCGGGCATGTTGATGTAATTACTAGGTATATATTAGAGAGAATTCAACCAACAATATTATTGAAATAAATATAAATTATATATATTACAAAAACAATCAGAGATTTTAACCTTGGGCCCGGGTATATGTTGAAGGCCATATTTTAATTTTTTTAAATATATGAGGAAATTATGATATATTTAGATGAAAATACTAGGGATATCTGATCCTCGTTTAATTATATATATTTTTCGCATTTATTTTTGGTATAATTATTGTATCAAATGTCTTTTATTGACATTAATTTAATAAAATTATATTTTATTTTTTGGATTATTATGTTGATATATAATAGATAAAAAATAAAATATTTATTAAGATAAAGAATTTTCCATGGATAACGCCAGCAATGCAGTATTTAGTCATTGGGCCGGTTTCAAAATGATTATCTGACAAATCACTATATTTTTAAAATATTTTTTGAGATAATGATTTACACGTATATATAAATAAATAAACCAAAAATGATCATTTTCCAAATAATATTACCAAATTTGGTATCGAATATTTAGTAAGTGGTCGGTTTGGAGTTCGGCATTCGGTCAAATCATAATATTTTCAAAATATTTTTTCGGATAATGTTTAATACCTAAATATACACGTATAAACCAAAAATAAAGAGATTTTGATCAATAACGCCAGCAATATGTTCCTTACAAATTTTCTACTATTTTTCGATTATAAACCTACTCATTAATTAAATGTCAAAGAAACCGATATTTTTTAAAATTTTTCAGGTTTCTTACATGTATTTACACTCAAATACAAAAAAGTGATATCCAATAATTATTCTGGTTTTCTAAGAATATATTTTCATATTTATCCATTTAACGCCCTCTTACGGATATATATTTGTTAAATTTATCAAATGAAAAATAAAATTTAAGTTGTAATAAGCTAGTAAATATATTTTTTTTCCAATAATATTAAGTAAAAATAGAATTTTAAATTATTTGATATTTAATATCAATTTTTTATTAAAATTGATTTCTGTTGTTTTTGAAAATTTTTTTAAAAGATATTATATCATCAAATTATGGTTGATTATGATTAATTGCTTTTTCGCAAGGCAGTATTTAGTCATAACGCTTTTATTTCTTGCTAATACGCCATTTGGCGTATGTCTATCTCCCATTATATATACCTTTTTTATAATTTAATAATGACTTAATCCTGCCTTCTTATCATACATATGATATTGATGGTCATTATGCATTCTAATTTTTTAATTTGCATGTTAGTATTTAACTATAGAATTAACTGGTGGATAAATTGATAATTCCGATATTATACTCTCTGGTAATTAAACTTTTAGTAATAAAAAATATAAATGAAAATATAAGTCATTTTAAGATTATATGATATATCTTTCCTCACTTTGATTTATGTTATTGAATATATAAATAAAAAATATTAAACTGAATTAATATAAAAAATATTCATTCTAACTTGATAAGTCTATACAAATGGAAAATCTTAAAGATATTCATGAAGTAATAAAGAAAACAATAAATCCTTACTACTCTAGAAATTTTAATAAATAGCACAAAATTTTAAACTACAGCAATATCCTACTTCATTTAAAACTTAAATAGATCCCCCCCCCCCCCCAAAAAAAAAATTTTTTTTTTATCCTGCCCCCTTTAAAGGTGCCTTCCTTACCCACATCCTCAAAAAAATTGGATACAAACTGTTCCTATCCCCTCCCCGCTCTCACGTAGACGCTGGCCAGCCCATATTCTAATTTTTTTAAAATATATCGGTTAAACCACAATTATTATCTATAGAAATAAAAAATAAATGTAATATAAATTTTAATAAAATAGTCAGGCCAAAAATTTTTTGAAAAAATAAATCCGTGCCGGTGTAATGTTTTAAAAATACTCCATTTTTTTATATACTCCAATATTTAGTGATATTGACGTTTATGACTGACGTGCATATATTAAATATTACATTTTTAGTGATATTGACGTTTATGACTGACATATAAATATTAAATTTAGTCAATTGGCATTTATAACTGACGTATGAATAATAAATATTACCTATGATATTTAAGGCAATTAAAAATACTCCATTTTTTTATATACTCCTATATTTAGTGATATTGACGTTTATGACTGACGTGCATATATTAAATATTACATTTTTAGTGATATTGACGTTTATGACTGACATATAAATATTAAATATAATAAATATAGTTAATTGGCATTTATAACTGACGTATGAATAATAAATATTATTTTTTCTATGTCCTATGATATTTAAGGCAATTTTGCCTTATTCTCTTTAGAAATTATTAGATTTAATATTAAGTGTTAAAAATTTATATATTTATTTAAGGTTTAATTCGAAAATATCAAAGATTAACATATAAATCTTGCACTATCTATTATCACGTTACTGCTCAAAGTTAGAAACAATTTTCAGAATAATTCATTAAAATCCTTTATTTAATTTGTAAATATAAAGATAAAAAAATCAATTAATAATATATGCGATATAAATAATATATGCTATATGCGATATAAATATTAATTAAAATTAATTATGCGATCAATATGTTCGCTATGATTTATTAAATAAATATTTACATTAAATTTTTTAATATTACTTAATTTTTTAATGGGCATATAGTATGCCCATTTATAAATAGTATGTATTAAAATATTTGTCTGGAGCATAGTTGTCATTGTAACTATCTCCACCTCTGTACCATAAACGGCATTTTGAGCCATGCCCGTCCTCTCCGGCGGGGCACCTATTAAATTAAAAAATTGATTTTATCAAATCTTAAAAATGTTACCAAAAGGTCGAATGTCATCAGGCTCTAGCATTTTCGATGCTTTTTCTGGTGTCTTAACTCCATCATCTAAAAAAATATGAATATTAGATTTTTTTTATTATACCTTTTTTGTTTATACAATTATAATCCTCTCCAACTATCGAATTTAGTATATTCATAACTAGATATTTTCAAAAAGGATTTAATATTAAATATATGAAAATATTACCCTTCATATGATTTCTTCCGCATTAAGCTTTAGATTTTTAATAGCTGGTTCTTGAAAATTTTCATCATCATCTAAAAAAAGGAATATTATTTAATAATAAAATCCATTGTATACCTTTTATGGTACTAGAATGAAACTTTTCACTTGACCTAGAAACTGTTTAAAGTTATTTAATAAATTTTTAAAAGTATTAACATTTTTTCTGTCCTGATTTAATTGTGTCATCTTGATAAATATATAATTAATTTTTTTTAAAACTATACCTTTTCTTGTAACATCTAAAAAATAATATTGAAAAATAAAAAATAACAAAGAAAATATTTAATGAGAATTTGTGTTGATATGATTTAATGACACATATTGACGATTAAATTTAAACCCATTCATGTATAATTATATTGCTAGCAGAAATAATTAAAATAACACATTTGTATTAATGTACATTATGTATAGATATTGATAATTAATATTAAGATGGGTATTTGCTGTTTTGATAATTGAGTTTGAAATGTTTAACCATGAGTCATTATTGTTGATTTGATTCAAATTATGTAGAAAATTATTTGCTGGGGTTGGTAAATTAAGATTAGAGATATTATATTTTTTAAGGATTATAGGAGTATATTTGTTTGAGGGTTTGAAGTATGTGTGATATTTATTGTTTCTTTGTTTATAAAAAGTTGATTATTTAAAGTAGCAAAACCAATAAGAGAATTAGTGATTTCATTACATAATTTCATGTTAAGGTCTCCTCCAATGATGATAAAGTGATTTTTATTGATATCTATAAAATATAAAAGATTAAATAGGCCTGTTTTCCATTCAAATAAAGATATGGCATTCCATTATTTTTTGGAGATGGCATTTTAAAGGCAAATATTTTAAATGTATCTTGAAAAAAATATATAAAACAATTTAACATCAGCCATTTTCCCGCAGACGATTTTTTCATCTGGTACCAAGCATCATGCACATATTTTTAACACAAAAATATGATTCCGCCTTTACAAGCCATAAAGCGACAATTTGAGATTGTCCATGACTATCTATTACAAGTAGAATAAACAGTGGCATACCTAGATTGTTTAATTTGTAGGTAGCATCAATGAATATCACCTCAGGATAATATTTAAGATTATGGAGCATGCTAGCATCTTGAAAGTAAATGCCCAACAATTCACTATCATTTTCTAGGATTTCCACCACAGCTCCATTATCTTCCCTGAGTTGATTTATTACATCAAGTAATACATTATCAGATGGCTTGTTTAATTTGGCTGAAATATTATGAATATCTCTCAGAGTCATCATCTGACCTGAATTAAGAACATATTCTTGTATTTTCACATTATTAGCTTTAAAAGTGATAGCTTGCTCCACAATTTGTTTTTTTATTGGAGAAAGCCTTCTTTGTTTAGAGAGCATCTCATATAGTTTTTTATCTTGATTATATAAATCATGTTAGTTAAAAATCAAATAAATATGTCTAACCTAGATCATGGTTTTTATGATCTTTTACAAATGTGACAATATCTAAAGAATACACATTTAGTTTATCACACTGAAGAAAGACTGTGAACATAAAAATACATTCCTTGCGAAGACTAGATGAGGATCTTATACCTCTAGACTTATTTTTTTTCAGTCCATATTTACATATATAATAAACTCGATTATATTTATATTGAGCTATAAATGCTTTGCTATAAGGTTCCTTTAATAAGTCTGTATTAATAAGTATGTTAAAAAAAAAATTTTTTTCATATATAGATATGGCATCGTTTAATTCATGTATAGAATTAAATTTAGTATTAAGATATAATGACATAATTAAAATAAATATATAAAACTATAGTGTAAAATATATTAATATGAACCTGTTTTTAAATCTTTAGCTTCTTGAATCAATGGTTAGCTTCTTGAATCAATAATAAATCTTTAGCTTCTTTTATTTTCTAAAATAAAATAAAATTTATAATGTAAAATATATTAATATGAACCTGTTTTTAAATCTTTAGCTTCTTGAATCAATGATTAGCTTCTTGAATCAATGATTAGCTTCTTGAATCAATGATAAATCTTTTCTTTTATTTTCTAAAATAAAATAAAATTTATAATGTAAAATATATTAATATGAACCTGTATTTTTAAATCTTTAGCTTCTTAAATCAATAATAAATCTTTAGCTTCTTGAATCAATAATAAATCTTTAGCTTCTTGAATCAATGATAAATTTGTAGCTTCTTTTATTTTCTATAATAAAATAAAATTTATAATGTAAAATATATGAATATGAACCTGTATTTATTTTTTAAAATGGAGTTTAAAAAAGGCGCCAACGGGGCAAATATCCTTTACGACCTAAAAAATTTGACTGGAAATTCAAAAAAATCGCCTCAGCATCATCAGCTCCAGAATAATGTTTCTTGATTGACATGAGCACTTTTTCAAAAAAATATCATTATAAAAATTACATTGATCTAAATATACTCTGATATGTAAATACATTATAATCGAACAATATGATCTGAAAATACTCCACAAATAAGCTTAAAGGAGTATATAAAAAAATGGAGTATTTTTAAAACGTTACACCGGAGGTTTGACCTGAAAATATAAAATTCATGCAGGGTCAATATATATATATTTTTTTAAAATTTGAAGCGAGTCTGCAGATTTCTGATACATTTAATCATTTTTGAAAATTCGCTTCTTTTCGCATCGACACTTTCAATTTTATAGAAATTAATATTTTCAAGTCTTTTTCTTAAAATAAAATATATTACATATTACGTCGGTTTTTACTCTCTTCTACTGTTTTTCCGAAATCGACAAAGTATGCTTTCGAAAATACAGTATGAAAGCCTCATCTTACAACAATATAAATTACAAATAAAGATAAAAAAATAGGCGAACAGGTTTTTATATTCAGCCTATAAGGGTAATTTTTCTTAGATATTATAAAATTTTAAATTCATTTCCTTTAACAATGCTGGGAAAGATATAATATATGAAATGCTATAGAAATATTTATGATATAATATTTTTAAAAGTTAAATTTTTATAAATACCGATGTTGACATTTGGAGGCCAATGTGGCTAAAATGCGAATGTGTTAAAAATCTATGACCGTCAAGTCGTTAAGTATAAACGCTTATCATATTTTATTAGTATTCTTCTTTCATATCTTTTTTTTTATTTCGTCCTTTTTCCCTCTTTTTGCTCTCAATTCACATCCCACTTTCACACAACGGGGAGTGAACAGCAATGTCGACAAACGGGAGCGCTTATGTCCAGATAATGTGAATAGTTAATTGATAATGAATCACAGAATTTCAGTCAGTGGTATAAATAAAGTCGAAATTATTGGGCGAAATTTTTTTAACTCATACTTCAGATCAATGTGCATTTTTCTGTCCTCTATGGTCTATATAAAAAAATGTTCAAGAAGAATGACATGGATTCAAATTTTTCTCCTTGATTTGATGAAGGATGAATAAAATATTTTCCTATTTTATGAGGTGTGATTCAGAAAATTAAATATATTTAGATAAAGAGTTATTCTAAATCTTCCGTTATTTTATACAATAACTTAATGAAGCATGTATTTAGTAATTTTAATTTATTTGCACAATAAAAAAATCTTTTAAACTAAATTTATTCATTTGTATTTGAAAATGTTAAATCCAAAATAAGTATTGCTAAACCCTACCCCAATCTATTTCCATAATTTTTTAGTTACCACCCTAAGAATATATAATATAATCTACTTTAGTTCCATAAATAGCATAAGCAACTAAAAAAACTTCAATAATGAAATAGACCTGTCATACACATTTTCGTAGAGTGTGATCAGGAATCTTTTTTTTCACTTAAATATCATTTTTGTGAAGGCTCTTTTAAAATATTATGTCATTGCAAGTTCAAAATAACACAACTTTGCCGTCTAAGGAACAATCTTTATTCAAAAGAGTTGTGGTATATATTTTACATATTGAAATTTAAATAATTTTATATTTAGAAATGTTATGAACAAAAACAATATAAAAATGGGTTAAAATTTGCCAGAAGTATATTATCAAATCCTAAATACACTGAGCATGGGGGTATAAAGTAGAACGATTTGTTTAAATATTTTAAAATAATTATAGAAACCCTAGCAATGAAAGGTCTTTTGCTTAATTGTTTAGGAAAAAAAGAGGAAGCTTTACAAAATGTTCATAGAGGTCTTAAAAATGACCTTAAGAGTTATGTGTGTATCCTTTTTTAATTTAATTTTATCAAATTATACACAATTTTAATGAAAATATTTCCTTAGCTTGAATCTATTACAATATTTTAAATCAAGGTTGGCATGTTTATGGCATGTTACAATTATTTGACAAAAAATATGAAGAGGCTATTAAATGTTATAGAAATGCTCTTCGGATTGATCAAGTTTGTTTAAGTTATTAAATAACTGAATACATTTTTTTTCACATTTGCATTATTTTTTTTTCAAAGAGAATTTGAATAACAAAAAGCATCATATTATATATAAGAGAATAGATAAACTTAATTAGTAATATTAAACCAGAAGAATATATATATGTATTTCATAATATTTTGCACAATTAGGAACAAGTACAGATTTTAAAAGATCTATCTAAAATTCAAATCCACATAAGGGACATAGAAGGATTCAGGGTAAGAAATATTTAATTTTTATTATATATTGAGAAATAATAAAGCTATTTAATATAATTTTAGGTTTTATATAATATATATTTAAACAAGATTATCTATATAGAATTTATTTCCCAAATATTTAAAATAACTAAATTAGTTTACAATCATTGAAGAAAGAAAAAATTGATTAAGCAAGATATATTTTTATATTCCTTTTAATGAAATTAATGCAAATTTAGGATTATAATAATTTTTATAGCAAAAGTATTTAAGTTACCTCTCATATTAATTTGATTTCGTATTTATATTTACATAAATGAATTGTAAAAAATAGGAAACTAGATACAAACTATTGAAATTAAGACCTACTCAGCAAACCTCTTGGATCCACTTGGCTCTGGCAGAAAATTTTTCATCTAATTATGAAATGTGCCTGAAAATTTTATCGGAATTTGTCAATACCCAAAATGTACTTGCAATCTTATGAATTATTATCTCTCCCAGTTTACAAAATGATTACATAGACTTTTCATTTTCATAATGGTTCTCTCTGATTTATAGAATTACGATAACATATTTTTTGAAAGGAGTTAAATATATTATCTAATCTGAATTCATTCACTCAATATTAGGGTTGGCAAAATTCTGGATTTTTTGAATTTAAATCACGATTCTAATAAAAATTTATATTTTAATTATAGAGGTACTTGAATAGATTTGAGATTAATATATCAATTTTTTACCTCAGTATAATATTATTTACAAGTATAGAGTTAATGCTTCAGGAAACCTGTTTGTCGAATAACTACATATTGATAATTCATGAGCTAATTCGATATATTATCAAATAAAAATTCGATCATATTGTTTTTTTTAAACAAATTAGTCTATATCAGTTAGTACAAAAGAAAGTCATTCAATACTTTCTAGAACGATTGTGAAAGTCTCAGATTCAAATAAAGTGTTTAACCCAAATTAAAAAAATTAATAAAATATGGCAGTTTACAATTTTATTGTATTTCCTATTTGGTTGTCCTCATGCATAGCTCAATTTAAAATAAGATAACATGTATAATTCTCTTAAATTTAAAGAATATTAATTATGTATCAAATTTTTGGTGTCCGCATAATCAAACATGTTTAGAACCCTTCATCCTATATTAAAACTTACCTTTTAAATTATATTTTTATTAACCTTTTTTTTCTGAAGATAAATCAATTGTTTATTACAAAATATTATGGTGATTTGAAATTATAAGAAAGATGAAATTATATCTATATTAATTTATAATTTTAAACATATTTAAAAAGGGTAACTCCATGACAAATCATCCAGTGAAACATTTTAAAAATGGATGAAACTTGATATGAAGGTTAAATAGATTGCATATTTTATACAAATCCAAATTATAATGCCCTAGCTCAAATATATCCTTAGTTATGGGTCCTCAAAGTTCAATGATCGCCTCTCTCTTATAACTAATCTCATAATATTTTTGGTCTAAATTAACGAATTATATATCATTATGTAGCCCTTAAAATTCTCCTTAAGAATATGCAAAAATTAATTGAAAAATATCTCCAGTGTCATTGTGTTTCCAGTAAAACAAAAAAATATTTTGAAAAGTGCCCCATTTAAAACGGTGAAACTTATAAAATATGTTTATTGACAAAAATATAAATGGGGAAAATAAGAATTTAAATTTTATTTAGTTTTTTTTTATAATTTTAGGAAGAAATTTACTTATAAAGGGCGTTTGAAACGATAAAACCCATCAAATATGTTTATTACTAATATATATTAAGTAAAAATATTAATTGATAAAATATGAATTTAAATTTTATTTAATTTTTATAAATTTTAGGAATAAAAATAATAATTATAAAGGGCGCTATCTATAAAGATTAAAGATAATTATAATAGATTATCTTTTTATTGAGGTATAAAAAAATGTATATTTTTAAAAATTTCTAGCGGATATAACAATTTTCTAGAAATATTAATGGTTATTTAAAATGCATATTTTTATATATAAAATACGTTATAATTTTCTTTAAAAATAGCGCTCTCTATAATTGATTTATTTATTCCTAAATATAGAATAACAGTAAAATTTCTTATTTTCTCCATTAATATTTTAACTTAAATATTTAAATATATTGAAAATAAACATATTTAGTGAGTTTCAAAGTCTCAAATTAGGTCACAGAAGATATTTTTAAAAATAATTTTTGCATTTTCTTAAAGGAATATCGAGGGTTACAAAATAATATATAATTTGTTACTTTATACAAAAAAATTTTGAGTAATTTGAGATTCGGTAAAAGAGGAAAAGGCTCTCACCGAACTTTGATAACTCGAGATACAATAGAGCTAGAGCATTAAAATTTTGATTTATATAAAATATACAATCTATTTTACCTTTGTGCCAAGTTTCATCTATTTTAAAAAATGGTGGTCCGAAATCACTCTTATTTCAGTCGATTTATCATGGAATGACCAAAAAAAATTAAAAAAAAATGGTAAGTTTAATATTAGTTTAGGTTTAAAATTTAGAATATTTTAAATGATTTCTATATATTTTAAGAGTAGAATAATACAATTAACAATTATTTTAAAAAGTGATTTAATTTTTGTGCAACTTAGTAATTTTCTTTTAAAAAAAATAATTTTGGACTAATCTAAGTCAAGGTTATAATCGAATTCAGCAAATAAATTGCATTAAAAATATTGATTTAAAATAAAAATGGGTTTTATTAGCCAACCCTACTCAATATTGAGTATCTGAATTCATGCATACTATATTATGACAAATGTGGCTTATATGGTCACTAAACAAAGTAAGCTGAATTTTCAACCAAATTTTAATTATCTAAACAACAAAAAATAAAAAATGAAAAAAAAATACATCTTAAAATTAGAAGAAAAGGAAAATAACAATAACATTTGTTGTATAAATGTGAGTTAACCTAATTTCTTATGTAAACCATTTAAAATTGTTATCCACGAGGGCTGGGTGGGGCGATAATGGACGGGGCTTACCTGACATGGAATTTATTTACGATTTTTTACCGATATTGAAATGGCCTATTTGTAATGTTATATCGATGTTCCAATATGTTATGTGCATGTATAAAGAATTTACTGCCAATCTCGTGCCAATTCTGTATACACATTTATAATTAGGTTATTTCAATGTCGCACTTAAATTTATTACTTTTTTAAAATAAGTTTCCGATTTGTAAGTTACATTTATTAAAATAAATTAAATTTACTATTACAATTAAAAAAATATATTTGAGTATACTAAAATTATTTGGTAATCCATGTTGCTGAAAATTCAGATAACCAGTGTACAATACGAGAATTCAGAACTTTTAAAATACCAAAATTTCGTGATGGTTCAAGCTGGCAAATATCAAGATGCCTTACAGCATTTGACACTCAAAGAAAATCTGATATGTGACAAGTTTTATATCCTTGAAACAAAAGGTTTTGTAAAAAAAATTAATTTTTTTTATCAAATTTTGATTTTTTTGTAAATATTTCCTCCAGATTTTAAGATAAAATATATAAATTTATATATATATAATTTATGATTTTATAAGTTTTTAAAATGGGTTGGACATGCCAGGGCATGGTGTACCTAGAGCCTTGTACAGGTTGCCCGAAGGCTCGGACAATTATGACTTTCCTCGAATTCGGGCTGGACTGATCCCCAATAATCATCAAAATGTCAATCAGAATCATCCATTTTTTCACTTAACGCATTTCTAGTGTTGTTAAATTACTTAACTTTGACCATCTCTATTGTAGCTTAGTTAAGCTTTTAGCCTAAAAAATCAAATTAAGCATCTAAGTTGAGTCTAAACTTGAAGATTGATTAGAATATTTCTGAATAAAAACATGGCTACGCTGTTTTATCGTTGACTAAAGTTAGGTGGTTTAACAACACTACGCATTTCACTTATTCATTTATGTTATTGAGTTACTTCTATTTAAGGTGACAATATGTGAATTAACACAATATTTAATCTCAAATTCCAATTTTTTTTTCAATCAGACTCGGGTTGTTCTGGAACAAAAAAAATCTGTACTGAGATAGGGCTCGGACACAGAATTTTTTAAAATTCGGCCAGGTCACGAAAAAATCACGTGTTTTGGATTAGATCTGAATTGTATACTTCTTATTTTTTTCCTCCAATTTATTTTTTACTCACTATTCATCAGTAAATATATTTGTGACAATGGCGTCACTAGCTCCGGCCACCAAGGGTTGCTCAAGATTTTTTTTTAAAAAAATACTACGCAAATTAGGGCTACTAAGCATCCCTTTATCCTTACTTACTGACACCTACCTTATTTGTGACAAAATATATAATTAAAAATTTTTTTTAAAAAAAAGCGGATTTATTATGTAAATTGAACAAACCGGAAGAAGGCATCCTGGTGTATTGGAATCTTGTGACTCGAAATCAAGAAAATTTATCCTATTACCAAGGTATCGAAAATGGCTTACGTATCAAATTAGGACAAAGTAAGTTTTGTTTTTGAATTATTCAAAAATTGTTTCGTTTTTATTTTTTTTCTTTACACTTTATCTTATTAATCATGATTGAGGAGAAGACTAATATTATCTAATCAATGGATCTTATACCCATACTAATCCAATCCTCTGGAAAATATTTTCCCCCCTCCTATAGAAATAGCAACATTTGTATTTACCCCCTCCCTCTCTACTACTGACTATCCACTATTATTAGGTAGTTCTTCTTCTTCTTCTTGGATTGAGTTTTAATACTCTTTAAGTTTGAGATTAGTTTTGGAAAAACTATATTATACATTTTAAAATTGCATGGTGTTATTCCAAACATGTGTAATATCTTTTGAATGTTAACACTTACGTCAAAATTAAAAGATTAATATTTTTTTTCCCTAACATGATCAACCCATTTATCATCCTTTCCTTTATACAATGACAAAGACATTGATTTATATAACTCTTATAATTGATTGACATTTTTATACATTATTTTAATTTCATATGGAAAGTAAGTGCGAGGTAAAAAAAAACATTCCAAGGAAGAAAAACTTTTTTAATTTTATTCTTTAATAATGAACTAATGAAGTTGGAATGTCTATTTTATTTTTAAATGTTGAATGCAAGAATATATTTTATTTCATTCATTTTGGAATGGAATTTTTTTTTAAAAAATTTTTGCTATAATCTATTTCATAATTTAAAAAAAAAGAAGTTACTACGTACTTATAAGAGGGAACTGTGGGGGAGAGGGTACTCCGATACAATCACTCCCATTGCAAGTACCCCCCCCCACTCAGGCATTTAATTAGCATTTGCTCTGCAATGAGATACTGGATATGAACTGGGTATTACTTCTTTTTCTTCTTCTCGATATGAAATTAATTTTAGTTGTGCAGTATCTGGAACTCTACAGCTGATTACTTAATGCGTAAATTCTTTGGCAATTGGCATGATATTCGGAATAAGTCGTAGAATAAAAAGGGGGATGGGAGAAAGAGGTAGTGATGTTAAACGTCTCAATTAATTTGATGCGATTTTTAATAACGGCTAACCCAATATTTTAACCAGAAATATATTGTCTCTAAGCCTAGAGATTTCGCTAATAGATATTAAACCTTTTGTCATCCTTGAACAAAATCTTGGCGCGATATTTTTCTGGGTAAAATATTTATCTAACAATACTAGAAAGAGGTATTGATAGAAACCATAATTCAAAATAAATATCCATCAAATCCACACGTAAAGTAGAATCTACAAAATCAACCGTTTTGTTTATTTCTAAGACTTTTATGCATTAGGTTATAGCTGCCAAATCTAGATATATCTTATAATATGCATTATAAATAATCCTCTTTTTTAATATCCGGTTTGGTTTGTGATCACGAAATGACTACCGAATTAGATTTTTTGGTTATGTTTGAATTCCTGGAAACATGTGAATAATATTATATTATGTTTTAAATGACAGGCGAATTGAGCACGCAAGACAAAATGCACATATACGAAAAAGCTCTACAAATTAATCCTTCCGCTCTCTTGCCGCAGACTATTCCATTGCAATTTACATCTCGTTAGCATACTAAAAAAAATATATAATAATATAAAATTGAATGTATTGAATATTTTTTTTATAAACGATCCATTTTAGCCTAAAATTTCCTGTCTCTGCTAGGATCTCTGGACCCATGTTTGATACCATATTTTTTCTCCAAAACCCATGACAAACAGGGACCCGATAATATTTGGATTTGTAAAACTGAACCTACCCAAATCCGGATCGGGTTTAAGAATTTTAGTCATTTTATGATAAAAAATATTACGTTATCTTTGCAAACTTATTTATTTTTGGTTTTATTCCTAATGCTTTGTTACTAGATTTTCCTAATTATTTGAATACCCATTATTCAAATTCTTTTATATGTAGTTAAAATAACTTTTTAAAAAATACTTATATATCTCATTCTATTCGACCGACAGTTTGACTAATTTTTAATTAAGGCTGTGTCCTAAAATGTTTTAAAAAAATTCCAAAAGTTTCAAAACTTTCGCTAATTTAAAAATTTTAACGGAATCGTAGGTTAAATTTTTGAAATTGTTTTTTTTACATACTTATAACAGTTTCTTTATTTATTTTCATTAAAATTTCCAATGTTTTTTGTATTTAATTTTTCGTGGTTTTGGATACAGCCTAAGCCGAATCTTGACAGAACCCATTTGAATGGCCCATCTGAACTGAATCACATTTTTTTAAAAAAAAATTTGAACTTGGATCAATACCATGACCTCGAAAATATTTTGTAGGGTCCAGAATCCTGATTTTTATTAGGGGATATTAATATTTTTTTTATATAGATCACAATTGCGAATAAAAAATGATTATTCAATTTACATTTATTTACAACCAAAGATCAACAATTTAAAGAACTCGTCGATAAATTTTTGCAAAAGAATTTGAGGAAAGGAATTCCTTCCTTATTTAAATTGATAAAAACTCTTTACACGGATCAGAATAAAGTTTATTTCCATTTTTTTAAAAATATTTTTATATTGAACTTTACAATAAGCTCTGCCAGATCTGCCACAAATCAACGAGAGTTTTGGCTTTACCCCCTAAGATTTTTTTTCCAAATTAAATTGTGTTATATTTTTTTTTATAAATTTGAAACTTTTTTTTCCTAGTTTGTGGCGTATATCTCGGCCCCTGGGTGGGTTTGAAGTCTAGCATTTCATATATTTTTTTTCTTAGTTAGATTCCATTAAAAACTTTCAAGTTATAAAAACCTTTTCCGATTTCTTCGAAAATATTTTAAATCATTTTATCTATTTTTTTAATATTATGATATATTTATCATTTAAACCAGGTGGATATAATGGACGAATTAATAAACGGATACGTACGTAATCTCGAGGCCCATAATAAATTAGGTCACAAGGAGACCATAAATATTACTATTTTCCAAATTAATTATAAATTCACTGAATAATCATTTTTTTTCTCGAAATATTATTATATTTTACTCTAATCGACAACCAAAAGTTAAGGGTTTTTAAGCAACCCATGGTAGCGTAATTATTTTTATTTATTTGGGTCGATATTTCTTGGCATTCTTATAAAAGAAAACCGGTATGATTATGCGAGGATGGGGTCTTGCATAATTGACGTAAGCTCCCTGTGGATCCGGGTCGTGGACCTACATTTAAGTATTAAGTAAAATTAAAAATACTATTTAGGCCACATTCAAATAATAAGCCTTATTCATAAACGAATGAGAAGCGAACAAATACATTATATTCGTATTCGTATGCAATAATTCGATTATTGTAAAATAATTCATACGAAAATATATCGACAAATAGGAAAAAGTATTGTAGTAACCTGAAAATATAGAACATGTGATCAGGTTCAATTTTTCTTACTGTTTATTCTTTTATAAGACATGAGATTTGGGACAGCAAATTAGTTAAAACTCAGAAAAGTCTTTTACAAGGAATTTACGTATATCTTGTTAATCACAACCTAGGGTTGTTAAAACTTATTCGTGTCGATTTTTTTAAAAATGGCCCGATTAAGATTTTAGCCAAAATAAAATTATAAGTCTGGAGATTTTACTCATAGATAGGAGATTTTCCAAATCTCAAGGCATGCATGATATTATTTTGGCTTAAAATCTTAATCGGGTGGTTTTTAAAATCGACCCAACTCGGGTATCTTATAATAAAACTACTCGAAATCTGACAAATGGTAGCACAAACCTTCCTGCCATCTAGGAGCGAAATCTCCAGTCTTATATAATATTATTTTGACTAAAATCTTAATAGGGTTATTTTTAAAAATCGGGGCTTTTTAACAACCCTACATTACCAATTTAGTTTGATGGGTTAACGACAGAAATGTAATGATAAAAGATAAAAAAAAACATATTTATTCTTGAATATTCGATTCAAATTATTAGAATAATTCGATTCGAATATAACTAATTAGTTCGTTTTGGATCCGGATCCCATTATGATTGTGGTGGCCTTCAGTGTAATTAGGTAGAAACCAATGACATATAATATACCTAGACAGACGATTCATTTATTAAAATTGTACATCAATGCAAATCAGCTGGGGACGACATCTTGGTAACAGTAATTATTATTATAATTTTAAACGAGAGCCTAATTTATTCGTATATCTGATGCAAGCTTTATTAAAGAATTAAATGTTTTAATTTCAAAAAATTAGAAAATATACAATAGTTTTTAACATGAAAATAATTATTATAGGTTACCAAAATGGTGGGTCCAGCTGATTTGCTTTTAACGACGCTTTATTATTCATTTTAATGAATGAATCGTCAGTCTAGGTATATTATATGTCATTGGTAGAAACGCACAGGGTCAAGCTTAATTTTTTAAAAAAACCTAGACAAATTATCAAAATTAAAATCCTGGACCAAAGGGCAGGTCTGTAAAGTTTATTTATTTTTTTTTGCAATGGTATAAAAAAAAGGATAAAAATGGACTTCCTTTTTTTTTTTATTAGAAAATAAAAAATAGATGACTTCAAATAGATAGGTTAGAAAATATTTTTTAAAAAAATGTAGAAAGAATGATGGGGTAATTAATTTTAACGAAGGTTGAAAAAAAAATTGTTCGTTATTCAATCTAGTGTTATTAAACCCCTCGATTTTTAAAAACGGCTAACCCAATATTTTAGCTAAAACAAATACGTAAGCCCTGGTGATCATGCTCAGATGCAAGAATGGTTTGAACATCTCTTAGCAAAATCTCAGGCTTGCGTACAGCTACTAATTCAATTAGAAAATTTGAATCAAATATGAATGACGAAAAGGGGGAATAATGACCTTTTCCTTATACGCAATAATTTATGAATTTTTAGAAATGGAGCAACATTTTAATATATATTTTTTTTAAATGTTTTTTACTACATATTTATTCCTTTGAAAATATAATTTTTTTAAAGCCTTATTAAGATTTTAGTTAAAATAATATTATATAGGCATAGAGATTTTGCTCATAGGTGACATCTATTTTCCATACTTCGATACTTAAATAATATTATTTTGACTAAAATCTTAGTCGAAGAACCGTATTTAAAAAATCGACTCAAATTGGGCTTCACAACAATATTTTCGAAATTGTAATCTTTTAAAATGTGAATACGTTAGAACAGATTTATCCCAAACGAACGTAGAGTCCCCTACAACTCTTCTATGGGCTCTCGTATTGAAATCTCGGCATTGCAGCAAACTGGGTCATTTTACTGAAGCTCTCGACTGCCTCAATCGAACAATAAATCACACGCCCACCTTCGTAGACGCCTACACCACGAAAGCCAAAATTTACAAAGTTAATCATTTTTCCCATTTATAGTATTTTACATAGTAAGGGGAGGGTGGGGGAAATTACTTCACCTGGCAAATGTGCCAATTGAGTTAAGAATTATGATATTTTTTTTAGCAGATGAATGAATGAGGTAACGCGTTACCTTTTTGATTATATAATTTTTTTTATTAATTGATAAACAGAGTTAATCGTGTGTTGATTTATGATTTAAAATTATTGTATTTCGTAAATGAACCAACTTTCCAGAACAACGGTAACATAATAGAGGGGTTAAGAGTTATGAGAGAATGCCAATCATTCGACACCGCCGATCGCTATTTGAACTGTCTCTACGCTAAGTACTCCCTGCAAGCCAACCTTGTCAACCAAGCCAACGAGATTCTATCCAAGTTTACTAAAGTAAAATATATAAAAATAGAGTTCACTCTTTTTTTTTCAATCATAATTCATAAAAAAAGTATTATAATAACGAATTGGTAAAACGCTCATTTAATGTTTGTTTTTGAAAAAGGACTATTAGCGAAAAACAAAATGGAGATGATTTATTTTAAATAAATTGCCACGATTTTTTCAATCCAAATATGGAAGACAGCATTTCCCACATATTTAAATTTTTTTTATAAAAACGGATAGGTTATGTGAGTGAGAGGGAATTAAATATAAAATAATACTTCAATATGAGGAGGGTATAGTCGTAATTTTTTCGCCATATATTTGGTAGTTAATGAGGATAAATTAATCTACTAAATAGTTATAGGATGCGTCTTGTAATTTTCTTCTTCTTCTATTCGTTAAAACTAGGTTCAAATTTTTAAATAAATTATTACAAGACTCGACCTGTTATTACATTGAAACGCCTTTAATAGGTGATGCTTTAAAAAAACAAATTTATGTTTATTTATGTAAACAAGGAAAACACGATACCTAGTGAAGATCTGAACGAAATGCAATGCATGTGGTATTTACTCGCGTGTGCTTCCTCATATAAGATCATGTCCGATTATGGCCAAGCGCTCAAAAAATGTCACCAAATTTATAAAGTAATTGGTTATTATTTTTAATAATAGATTACAAAAGAAGTTAACCACATTTCCTTGATGATTTTTTCTATATTTTATTTTAAAAAAATGATAAAATCAACGATTTAATGGATTTTAAAAACAGCTGGTTTAATATTTTTCTTTCCTGGTATACATCACTCTTTGAAGGCTGGTCAGATAAGATTTGCCAATATAAAATTGATACCGGCCAATTACCGACCAGATATTATTAACCTGATTTTGTTCGTTATACATATTTAATATATTTTTATTATATCATAACGTAGGTCACTTAAGAGATATATTATTATCAAATTTTAATTAACTTTTTATCTATGCGAATTTATTATGTTATATTTATCAATATAAAAAGTATATAAATATTGATAAAAATTAGTACATTTACTCTATTCATGATCAATAATATTAATTTTTAATTTTTTTTTAAAAATTATTTATTAAATTTTAAAATAAATAATTTTAATAAAGATCTCGCATAGCATATCCCTGCCCTCCTTTCGGGCTCCAATTGGCTTTGGTTTGATCAGGGCCTATTTTTTAAAAATAATTTTGCTACAGGCTATGACAAAAATAATTTTAGAAAATTTCCGATGTAGATCAACTAATTTTCAATTATTAAGTTAGATTTTTGTTAAATTATCACTTCAATTATATAAAGAATGTTCATAATATTATATAATAATATATTTTCTTGAATATTAATAAATTTAAAATCAAATTAAGACTCCATTTTATCGGATCTATTCCGTGAATTTTATAATATTTGCCGATGACTAATATTTCTAAAAAAAAAATCTGAAAATCGGCAGCTCGATTTGGGTCGATTTTTTTAAAACTACTTGATCATGATTTTGGCCAAATGAATATTACGCCTCGAGATTTTAGGGCAAATAGAGGTCCAAACCTTTCTACCATCAATGAGCAAAATCTTGAGGCTTACAATATTTTTTTTGCTAAAATCTTAATCCGTACCGTTTTTTAAAAATCGACCCAAATCGGAAAAAATGTATTGGCGGGCAACTCCGATATAGTTCTTGTTTTTATGGCAATAGGTAGATTTAAAAAAAACATCCCGATTAAGATTATAACCTTAATAACATCACATGTAAGCCTAAAGATTTTGCCCATAGATGGTTGAAATTCTTGGACATCTATTTGCCAAATATCGATGCTCATATAATATTATTTAGCTAAAATCTGAAACGCGTAGCTATTGTAAGCTTTACTGTCGACATCTAAAGAGAAATTAAATTTAGCTATTGCAGCTAACCGTTTTTTGTTTATAAAATGATGATATATTTCTTCTCTTAACGTGAACTGTTTACCATTTCATCAATCTACCCAAAGTTCCTGTAAGGTGTTTATTTTTTCTTTTAAATTTTATGGCTACATTTTTAAACTATCAAGCATTTTCAAGACATGCTAGAAGACCAATACGATTTCCACACGTACTGCCCTCGCAAAATGACGCTCGTGTCCTACGTCCAAACGCTCATATCCAGCTTCAACCTCAAAAAACCTCAGGAGGAATTGCCATCATATGGCGGCCAAGACAAAAGAGTCGGAGGGAATCATTACTTCATGGAAACGGCCCAATGCGCTATCGAGGTAAAATTCCAGCCAAAAATATTAATAGTCAGGGCTGGGGAGAAATAATTTGATTAGAATTTTTGTTTGTAATTTTTTTTTATATCTAAATCAATCATTGAAAAACCAATTGTTTATACGAGGTTATTTAAAAAAAATTTTTTTTACACACTAATAAAAATTTGTTAATTTTTGAATATTCGAGAAATTGGATTTTTTTTTGTTTTGTTTTTGAGATACAACAAAATTAAGTTTTTTTTTATTACCCATAATTATTTAATGCATTTTTATGCTGAAAAAAATGAGAAGTAAATCGCCTATGTTTATAAATCAAGTTAAGGGAAAAGTATAAATTAAATCGAAACCTAACCTCCATATATTATCCAGTCTATTTGTTTGAGGGTTTGAACAAAAAAATTGTTTTAAATCAAATGTAGATATATATTAAACTATACGATGATCCCGGACTGGTGAAAAAGTTGGACAGCCTTGTATTGGATCGTGTGGCTAAGGAAAAAGAAATGGAATATTTAGCCCAAAATATTGTAACGAATACTGACCAGGACAACGATAAAATATCCAATACTCAGAGTAATGTGGATGAATCTAATAAGTATAAATAGCACTCATTAATAATATGCATAAATGAAAGTTAGAAATATGATCTATGAGAGAGGAGGGCGGCATCACTATTTAAAGGTCTCAAGACTAGTTGAAATAAATTGTCCATTAAAAAAGACATTTTTAAAAACAGTCCTTGATTTTGAAACTTTTAACCTTACGATTAAATAAGAGGGGGAGCGGCATGTGAAAGATACCAAAAAAAAAAGTGTAAATTTTTTTTTTGTATACCATTAATATCAGTTCGAAATTAATGAATGGGCACTTAGAACCCAATGATGCACAAATGGTTGGTTCAGATAAATTAAGCAGCGCCGATATTAAAAAGTTGAGGAATAAGGAAAGGAAAGCTCAACTCAAGCAAAAGTCGAATTCGGATCAAAGATCAGGGAATAACGATGACGGTGATTCCAATTCCTTGGAACCGAAGGATTTTATTGGGGTATGTAAAGATGTTTATTAAAAACAAAAATACATTATAAATTGACAATCGATGCCATTTAATAATGCGGCTAACCGCGATCAGCTGTTTGCCTTGTTTAATGTCTTTGAGATAAGTAATTATATAAGTAGGCAAATGGTTTCACGATTAAAATAACTTTTTGTTTTGTCTAAAAAATATATTATTTATAAAACATTTGAGAGCTGTAAAAAAATGAATTAGAAATCATGTATACCTATTATATTATTATTAAGCATAATAAAAATGGCAAACAGCTGATTTCAAATTGTAATGTTAATCGTTATTATAATGTTTCAATTGGTTAGGACACGTAATCAAAATGGAAAACAGCTGATTTTAAATAAGCCTAGTTTTAAAATTTCATATATATTAACATTACGATTATCTAATGTTAATGGTTATTATAGTGTTTTAGTTAATTAACACCCCCCCCCCCCCCCATTCAATAAAAATACACAGAAAACGAATATCAACTATTTAAAAAACGTTCTACAAATTAAAATAGTTGATTACTATTGCTAATAAGGAATTTTTTTATGAAATTTAAAAACAAAATGGAAACCATTTTTTTGAATATTAAACCCCCTTTTTTGACCCTATGGTGTTAGTTCATAAATATCAGATTTCATTTTATTTTATTCCTTTCACTATTAAATATTAAAAGACTTCGAATCCATTGGAGCAGGCCATAAAATTTTTGACGCCATTATCACTCAATTTCTTCGACAATTTTAAGACACATTGTCTCTCTTTTAACATTTATATCAGGAAAAGTAAGTAAAACATTATTAAATTTCTTAAACAACATTCTAGTTTATTACAATAGCTATCTCCTCTTTCGTTATATTTTATTTTTTGCTCACTCGAAACAAATATAGTTTTATTCTAATTATTTAATGTCGCATCTTTCTAAATTTAGGTGTGACTTATAAAAATTGCTTCTTAAAATTTTTCAGGGACAACCCCAGATATGCACTAATGTTGGATGAACGCGCTAAATGAACGAATGAAATATTTAATACGCGATAGTTCATATTAGTGATCTGCATCGGGGCAATTTTTCAAGCCGGCCCGATCCTGAATGAAGTTTTTTTATTTGCCCCCAAAAGTCCGATCCGAAAATTAAAAAAATTATTTGCCCGCCCGAACCCAAAATAAAATTATACCCAAGCCCGTTCGACCCAGTACTGGCCGAGACTGGATTTGGAGTATAGTCCATGTATTATGTTTTGCTTTGCATTACGAAATCGTGTACAATAAAAAATATTAATGCTTACTTTTCAATTTTTTAAAAAAAAAATTTATGTATTAGAAAAATTATTTCTCGTATTGAGAGCCTTGATAAATATGAGGAGGATCTTGGACATCGAATCAACTAACTCCTTTTCGCCGAGCAAAAATTTGTGCAACGCTGATAGCCTACAAAATAATTTACTGTTCTACGAATGTTGGGTCAAATTTATGCATTTCATGTGGTGCTCCGAACGAGATGGATCTTCATTCATTCCCAATATTCCTTCGGATATCAAGGAAATTCTCCTGGAAAAACAAATCGATCTCTTAACTAAATATGCCTTAAGGTCTTTTCCTTTCAGTTATAACTTCCTTAAAATATCGTAAGCACTGTTCTTAGCAAATGATTCTCGAGTTACCTAAAATCATAAGTAAATTTGATTTACCACCCCCCCCCCCCCATCCTTCTCCCACTTTCTCTTTATAAAGAAACCATATTTCTGAGAAAAAATTGACATGGTATCTCCAATCATCGAAATAACTTGCCATACAAATATCAAATTAGTATAATTAAAACAAAAATTTTTTTTTTAGTATTGCTGCCGAAGATTTAAACGAAATTTCATGGAACGAATTATTTTCAAATCCTGAGGCACTGGCCAATTCAGTCAATAAATTTGTTCGAATGCACAGCGAAATGATTAGCGACATGTCACGTGATAATCAATTTTATTGCGGGGAGTTTTCTTACCTCCTAACTGGTTATAAAACCTTTAATAAATTTAGAATAGATTCTAAATTGCTAAAAAGGGAAATATCGCTTATATATCCTGGAAATTTTTAAAGCGATATTGAAATTAATATTAATAGATGCTAGAGAGGTAAACACTTGTATTTACATTTCTTTTTTCAAAATAAAAATCATTTTAAATGGAGGAAATAATCATTTTAAAGATTCTAATTTGAGAATCTTTATAATATTTATCCCATTTACCCCATTTTTTCCATTGCATCTATTAATATTATTTTCGATATTGCTTTAAAAATTTTCTCAGAGATATATAAGCAAGATTTTAGTGTTGTTAAACTATTCGATTTTAGCCGATTCAGGAAAATATATTACTAGATTTTTCTCATATACAAATGTTTAGACATTTAAAAATCAATCCAAATCGATCCATTTAGCAATACTACAAGATTTCCAATTTTTAATGATTTTTGTTTGCGATTTAAAATAGGAACCAAAATTTTAAACTCAGTAATCATAACTGATTTATTTTTTTTATACGTTTTTTTTTACAAAAAAAATATATATAGGCGTTAGAATGATGGTTTATTTAAACGAAAAAAATGGTTCCCCTATCCAAGACACAAAGTTGGTTTATAAAAGGTCCATTAATATCCTCATGTTGTGCTTGTCTCGTTTTAAAAGCCACCAGCTCACTTCGACATTCGACTACAAAAGCTTCTTAAGAGTAATCGATTAACGTTTTTATTCAAAAAAATTTTTTTTTTAAAAATAAATATTTATCACTATCATCTCATCACCTTTTAATTCTTTTATATAAAGCAGAGACCTGTACAGGTACCATTTGTACGGCCCGGCCCATATTAAAAATTTTTTTCTGCCTGGCCCGGCTCGAATTTTTTCTTCAAAAATTTTTTACGGCCCGGCCCGGGTTTAAAAATTTTAGGCCTGGCTCGGCCCGAATATTTTAAAAAAAATTTTTGGGGGCCCGGCCTGGAATTTTTAAAAATTATATTCGACCTGGTATATACAAAAAATTCATTATTTCGTATTTTATCATATTTTTCGGCAAGTATTATCATTTAATAAGCAAGTATATTCGCTAGTGTTGTTAAACGGCTCGTTTTGAGCCGATTTTTAAAAACGGCTAACTCAATATTTTAGCCAGAAAATTATTAACTAAGCCTCGAAATTTCGATACTATATGTCTAGACCTTTGCTCCTTCTATGAGCAAAATTTTCAGGCTTGCATAATATTTTTGTGGATAAAAAACTGAGTTAGCCCTTTTTAAAAATCGGCTCAAAACGAGCCGTTTAACAACATATTTTTAATTCTAAACAGATATTTAGTATATTACAAATTGATACTATAAAAAATTTATGTAAATATAATATTTTGAGAATATACAATGTATTTATAAAAATGTTTTAATTAATAAAAAATATAACATATATTATATATTATATAATAATGTATATAATCCTTTGCGTATTTATTCCATGGCAGGAAAACTATAATTTTATTATGTAATAGATACTATGAGTGTTATCTAGTGTTAACACCAAACATTATATTAATCATAACTATATATAATCATTATAACCATATCTAATTGACGAATATAATAATTCCGGCCCTGGTGCCCGGGCCGGGCCTGCAGGTCTCTGATATAAAGTATATATATATATTTTATTATTCTTTGTTTTATTACTTTTTAAGAAATGTTTTTCGGCTCTCTATTTTATGATGGATATAAACACGAAATCAGGAAATACCGATAACTCCTCAACAGAGGGACTTGTCCAAGAATTTATTAGTCATTTACGTTGTTCTATGTATCCGCTGATAGACATAGACCTAATATTACCTTACGTCCCGTTTCGACATATTCATCACGACATATAAATATTATTTTTATTTTTTTTTATAACTCTTCCACTACAAAATTACCATAGTCATATAAAAAATCCCACGTCTAAAAATAAAACACAGTCAAATTTTTATATACGATTTATGATGAGTTGGCGAAGGACATATTCGTTACATTTTTAAAAAAGTCAAGTTTTGTGTTGATTGTCAAACAAAATAAGCAATATATTTGTAAAATTAGAATATGCGCGCAACAATTGACTTAATTATATTTCTTATTATCAAAATTTCCCATTCCTTATCTATCTAACATTAAATAAATAATTTTGCGTGTTTTTTTAGAAGTTATTTTATATTCTGTAATTTTATTATTATTTTTTTTATGTGTGTTGTGTGTAAATGAAAAATAAATTGATTTCGTTTGATTTTATCTTGCTAGAAATTATGACATACAAAAATTTACTTGTAAAAATTTAAATTGGCGCTACAAAATTATAAATATAAAAATTAGGATAAGGCATATTTGGAGTGATATAACTTTTCCATGTTTATTTAAATGTTTGAAATTTAATGAAAATTTACATTAAAACTTGGAAACGCTTTTAACTTTATTTGATAGACATTATATTGTCTCATAGTTTCTATTTTTACTAAAATCTTAGGTAAGATGTCGATTTCTTCCTTCCCTCTTTATTTATTTTTTTGACAAATAGAGGAAACCCAATTCAATAACCGGAACTGGTTTATAATAAAACTGGAACTAATTTATAAAAAAATATATTTAATTTTCGCATAAAAGAAAGTATTTAAATTTTGTTATTCGATTAAATTAATTAATCCTAGTTGTCTTAAATATAAATTAAGATAAAAATTTATTTGACGAAAATATTAAAAAATAAAAACGGAAATTTATGTATAAAATAAAATTTTTATCCTTTTTAAAATCGAAGTTTGCATTCATAATAAACACGATTCGCTCAATCGATGCGAAATTTTACGCTGCGTAATTTACATAATTAGACCAATTATAGTTGAAATCTTAGTCCCTGCATTCGTAGTTATCGTGAATTAGCGGTTAAGAATACAAAAAAACATCCATAAGTTTATGAAGAAAAAATAGATAGTAATCTGATATAATTAAAATTTGTTTTAAACACTGTTTTTTAGAGATAAAAACAATTAAAGTTTTTTTTAAAGATCTTTAAAAATTGGGAATTATTTTGAATTAATTATATATAATTTTTTTCAAATATTTTTCGTAAAATTTATTGGAAAGAAAAAAAAATATATAGTTTTTTAAAGGTTGATTTTTATAATAATGAATTATTTATACATATCCCTATAATATATTAATGATATTTATTAAATTAATGTAATTGGAGAGAGAAAGATTGAATCTGATACTATTTTAATTTGGAGACAAAGGAAAAATGAGATCTAAAATTTTAATAACATTATATATAAGCATCGTCTTCATGACAGGATATTGACTGCATGCAAGCCTCCTTCCCCCTCAAATACCTATACTTACCTCTCTAAAAAATTTTCGCCGCATTCTACAATTTCCTAGATTTTGTTAGTTACACGTTTTTAATTATAATGGTTAATCCATTTTTATATTTTAAATAGAATGACTTAAATTATCAATACCCTATAACTATCTATCAAAAAATTTTGAATGTAAAAGTGTTATTACTTAGGGCATGAATTAAATTAAAAACCCCCTTCATTTCCAAATAATCCATTATTATAACATATTGTTTGGGGGAATATGAGTTAGCCAATAGCTAATCTCATTAAATTATATTAAGCAGGAAATTATTCAGAGTTTTATTTGAAAAATAATGACTATGTATGGTCTATATTTAGCAATTTTATATTATGATAGGTCTATAATTAAATTATTATATCAATATATTGTCTATAAATCATTCAAAAATATAATAGATGACATCTAAATAATTATAACCTAGCCCCCCCCCCCCCTCCCCTCCGCTGTTGCAGACGCTGAATAAAAGTTACCAAAGTGCAATAAAAATAATAACTAATTTTAGGGAAACTAAAGAATTGTTGCTAATCATAAAAGTAACAGAAAAAGGCCAGAATAGACTACAACAATGTGTTCCGCAGTGTCAGGTGATTCATTTTATATTACGCCTCACAAATATTTATATAGAAAATTCACTTATTTCGCTTTTTTTGTTCGTAGAAAGATAATAAGCTAATTTTATTTTTTATTCTAGGGGTGACACTTTTCTAGGGATACAAGGAGTTTTATAATTCAAGATAATGGCGATACGGTTTGGGTTAAGAAAATTATTTAAAAAACCCGTATGTCTCTCCGATCGGTTCGAAACCATGCATTTGACTAGAATACATTTTCAAAATTTGATATGAATCTGAATTCCTTATTAAGATGTAACCTCAAGCGCCAGAAGTTGCCAAATTTTTGAAAGCGCTAATTATAAAGCAACCAATACAATTATGCGGAATTAGAATATTTTATCCTTTTGATAGACAGTATAGTGACCTAAGCATTATACAACATTAAATTAAATTCCATAATATATAAAATATTATCGCTATAAAAAAAAATAACTTTTATACTTTTACTTGATGTATCTGGCTGTAGATTTGATACTTTTTAATTTAATAACGGTAGCATGAAAAAGTATTTAAGTAGACTTAAGATAGATTAGTTAAGGTGATGAAAACGATTACAAAAGATTTATTTTTTTATTTCAAACTCTAAGGTTGAGCCATTGATTGATAGGTAATAGTGAAAGAAGTTAATAATTTATGGCGTTGGTCATCATATAATAATTTACTACACAACTACCAAATTTTATTAAAATAGAATAAGACCCATTTTTATGTATAACATAGACCAAATCATCAAATCATGCGCTTGCTTCCGAAACTCTATATATCATATCCCGTCGTGCCAAAATAACTATAGCTTAGCTTTAGAAATAAACCTTTCCTTTTTTGGATTCGAACTTAGGTCAAAGTTTAAACTGACTTCTTAATAAACGGCCATAGTGACTAAGTGATGACAATAACATTCAGGAATAAGGGGGTTTTTTTTAAGGATAATTTACGACGTATTCTAATATTTTGATAAGAATTCATAGGAAATAAATAACCTTCAATAATATTAATACCGTTTCTACAATTGAAAATGCTCAAACTTTGCCCATTTGGGAAGGGTCATTTCCAAGATCGAGGTTCCTAAAGGCAAATTCAAAGTGGAGCGACTTTTGGAAACGTCTCTCAACTTTTTTTAAAATAAACTATTATTAACAAAATTAAATGTGCCGATGATTTTATAAATATAAAAAGAAAATAAGGAGGAATTTTATCAATTTTAAATCAATAGAGATTAAATTTGATATCTATCATATTTCCCATAGATTTTCTCCCCTTTTTAGATATTAAGTTAGAAAAATTATGAAAACACATAATTTTCTCTTATAATATTTCTTGGAACTTATCCTAACCCTTTCCTTATGCCACTGGTTTAGGTAAAGTTCCGATTTTAATCGACTCGGAATTTTATAAAGAAATTATAATGAAAATACCGAAGATATAGGCACATTAGCCAATGAATATTTAACAGAGTTGAAAATAGCATCCGAGACTTTGTCAGCAGTTAACTGACACTTATTTCAGTTAACTTCATTAGAGACATTCAACTGTTTTATGATATTATTTATATGAGTAGGGCTAATAAATGTTTTTTATAATAAAAAATTATATTAAGTTTCCTTCAGTTAGGCTTGGGTCTTTTACAAATTCGAACCTCGCACCCGAAGTAAGATCAACGTGAACATATGTTAGAAAACACTTGTATAGATATCCTCACATTACGATGGATAATATAGATTATAACATATAGGGCGAAAAATGTAGAATATCTGTATTGAAAAGGAAGATTAAGGAAAAAAGACAAAAACTAAAATAGGAGCAGGTTATCAATTATAGATATAAAAATAACAAAGTGTATATTACTTATTGTAATATAACTCATAAATGAGAACATTAAATATGAGCTAACCCACAAAAATATTGGAAGTTAATGTTTTTTGAAAGAAAATCATGAGCTAAATTAAGAAAAATGAGTTACAACAAATTTTAAAATAAATATATTTAAAAATCGAGTTTCAATTATAATTTAAGCAAAATTAATGACGTTTTATTTTTGTATCATATTTGTAATTTAATGTTTAGGATTTAAAATCATTGATCAATTTTTTTTTTACAAAATTTAATGCGTTTTTTAAGATTATTTAGTTATATAAGAATATTGAAAGATAATTCGATTTTCTACGCTCACCCTGTTTAATTTTGGAATAAACTTTATAGAGTGATTCTATTCTAGGAAGATGACGTAAATAGTTCTTATTTTTTTATAATCATACAAGATGTGTGTTATATTTCAATTTCTTACAAATGATTCTTATACAATATTAAATAAATTAGAGAAGATCACCGCCATAGACTCGCAACTTTCGTAGCGGATGCCTTATGGTGTGGCGGGCGTGTAAAATGTGCCGACATGGTGATAACTTTGCCATGCGGTCAATTTCCGGTCCATAAATTGGTGGTTGCAGCTCAAAGCAGAACATTATGCGATACGTATATGAGAGACCCCGAATTGTCTAACTATGATTTGAGAACGGCTCAATACGAGTACATCACTCGTCAGGTCTTTCTCAAAGTATTGGAGTATATGTACACGGGCAATGTACCTTTCAGTGGCGCAACTTTCGATTTCATGAAAGAAATCAATAAGATCGCTAACGAGTTTATGATCATAGGATTGTTAGCTTTACTTGGAGACTTTAATAAACAAGTACAGCAACAGGATCAGCAGGAATTGCAACGTCAGCAACAACTAAAGCAACAACAGCAGCAACAAGAGTCACAACGGCAACGAGATTTACAAAGGCAACAAGAACAACAACTACAAGATCAACAGCGTCAACAAGATCTACAGCGACAAGACAATCTACGGCGGCAGCAAGAGCAGTTACAACAAGATCAACGGCAAAGGGAGATGGAGCGTCAAAGAGAGCTAGAACGGCAAAGACAGTTAGGGATGCAAGCGCAGCAACTTGAACAACAACAACAAAGGGAGATGGAGCGGCAAAGAGAGCTAGAACGGCAAAGACAGTTAGGGATGCAAGCGCAGCAACTTGAACAACAACAAAGGGAGATGGAGCGGCAAAGAGAGCTAGAACGGCAAAGACAGTTAGGGTTGCAAGCGCAGCAACTTGAACAACAAAGGGAGATGGAGCGGCAAAGACAGTTAGGGATGCAAGCGCAGCAACTTGAACAACAACAAAGGGAGATGGAGCGGCAAAGACAGTTAGGGATGCAAGCGCAGCAACTTGAACAACAACAAAGGGAGATGGAGCGGCAAAGACAGTTAGGGTTGCAAGCGCAGCAACTTGAACAACAAAGGGAGATGGAGCGGCAAAGAGAGCTAGAACGGCAAAGACAGTTAGGACTACAACAAGCGATGCAACTAGCGCAGCAACAACAAGATCAACAACAAAGGGAACTGGAAAGGCAAAGAGAGCTAGAACGGCAAAGACAGTTAGCGCTGCAACAAGAAATGCAACGGCAAGAAAATTTAAGGCGGCAACAAGAGCTACAACAGCAACAAGATCAGCGGCAAAGGGATATGGAGCGACAAAGACAACAACAGCAACAAGAACTTCAACGACAAGAAAATCTACGGAGGCAACAAGAGCAGCAACAACAAGAAAATCTAAGGAGGCAACAAGAGCAGCAACAGCTGCAAGATCAATTGCAAAGGGAGAGGGAACGGCAGCAAAGGGATCTGGAGAGACAAAGGGATCTGGAACGACAAAGACAGCTTGAGCAAGACCTACAAAGGCAACAACAGCTACAGCAAAGAAAGCCATCTATGATGCCTCATTTTCAAAAATTTGTGGACCAAAAAGTTGATAAAGAGATTAGAGATATGATAAATTTTCCCGTAGAAGGGTATACTAAACCATCTATTGGACTTGGTACGTACGAGAAAATGCCGTTACAAAGCAACCTGTGAGTTTAATATATAAAAAATATAATATAATGAGAACTAAAACAAATAAACATTTAAAAAAGATAATGATGAATTAATTTTTTAAAATAAATTTCTAGTTGCAGCACCTGCCTAGTGCCAGTGAATCAAATGAATCAATTTTCAAGCATAATGCCTCAAATTCAACAAATCTATAAGGTAGTGTATGTTGAATAACATGCTAAATATATATATACTTTAAATCTATCCAAATTACCAAGTTCCTCTAATGGAATCGGTTAAAATTAAATAATTTGCATCATCGAATAAACAAGCTGGATAAAATGGTTTATAATGAATAATCTAATAATAAATAAGATCCATTTTTTAAAATTTTATAGATTACTATTTTATATCCATGACATACTGGATTAAATATTATTGGTTTAAAAATATAGCCGGCACCACCACAGATGCCACCTTATGTTCAGCCGCCACTCCCACCAATGCCAATGTATGTTCCGCCACCACCCCCACCGATGCCAACTTATGTTCCCCCACCAATGCCAACCTATGTTCCCCCTCCTATGCCAACTTATGTTCCACCACCTATGCCAACTTATGTTCCCCCACCGATGCCAATTTATAATCCTCCACCCCCATCACTGATGACTTATGTCCCGCCCCCGACTCCTTTCATGCCACAATTCTCCAGTATGGTAGTACCGTATAAACCACAGCCCTCACAGGCTACCAGGGCTAATATGACGGCAGACGATTTCCTGAATCTTAACCTGGATGAATTATGCGCCCTTCTTAGGAGCGATTATTTAGCCGTAGAGGATGAGATCGAGGTTTTCATAGCCGCTTGGAGATGGATCTACCATTCGCGATTCGATAGATGGAGACACATAAGAGATGTTATGGCTTGCATACGCTTTGTACATATGACTGTGAGGCAACTTTGCATGGTGGGAAGGGAGATGGAGAAAATCACGGAAACTCATGATTTCTTGCTCAATGCTTGTTGGTAACCTAATTTCTTTTTTAAAAAAATAATAGAAATCTCTATAAAATGTTTTACTCCTCTTTTATGTTTTTTATAGGTACCACACCTGCATTCAATTCAATGTATTGGATGCCATATTTTTCCCTGTTCCTAACCCGAGAAAATTTTATGGAGTCAAAATAAATGATCGTTTTACGATTTATAAAGAAAATAAGATACAAAGATACAGTATATACTAATAACTTTTACTATATTTTTGATCCTCACTGAAAAAGTGTCTAACTAAGTAAGAATTTCAATATGGTTTTTTGTTTGCCTTAATATTTTTTAATCTTATAAGCTAAATATCCATTAAATATGCCTTATTTCATTATTATTTGGATCTTCCATTCTATTCTTATTTCAAAAATTTGGGTAAAATTTATACAAATTTATGTTTAATTTAAGGTTTATAAATGGATAATTTCCATTATTTAAATCTTATATTCATTATTAATATTAAAATAGTTTTTTATAAACTTTTAAAGTTAGATGATTTTGCAGTGAGACTGATGTATAGATTTTCTTAATCACATAGTATTTTTTTTCCATAAGCTTACTAATTCCAAAAACATTGTGTCCTCAAAACGTGCCACTAAAAAATAATATATAAAGAAATATATCCAAATATATCTTCGTATAATGTATTATCAAAGTTCCAACACTTCCGGAATATCGCGATTTTATGGCTAGACGGGATTTCATACCTATGCCTATGCCTATGCCTATTTCTATGCCAATTTCTATGCCCAGAGCAATTTCCCAAATGGATGATGAAATGGTAATCGCTGACATAATGGCTACCATCAGTCAAGAAGGAAATCAACGACCTGTAAAAAAAATAATATCATTTTTAACATTCCTTTAAAAAAATATATTTCAATCTTCCCCTTTTCTCGTTCCAAAATTAGAGTAATATCTTGGGTAAAGCAAACGCGTTGTACGATGCCATAATGTCTAATAGAGGAGATACGATGATGAGAAAAGTATACCAACTCTCGATTCTTCTTTTTGTTTTATTATCTTAAAATAAAATATATTTTTTAACGCCAACGAGCTTAATCGCGACGACAATTTTAATTTATAGGACGATTCTCCATTAACGATTTTCAGCGCTTTGAAGAAATTAAGAATGTCCGTACAAGAACTGAAAGAGGTTTCGACCAATCTAGACGCAACTACTAGAGCTTCCGTCATGAGAGTTTCTATGCATAATCAACTTGATAAAGTTTTACATTTATTAAATATTTTAAGAATATATATATTTTTTTTCTAAGTTCGCCATTAGCCATTATCATAATCTATTTTTTTTTATATAAAGGATTAAGAATATCATTGTCATTATTATTATTTATATTAGGGTGGGAGAATTGATATCAAAAAAGTAAAAAAACCGATTTCCCCCATCAAAGAACTGTCAGAGCTATCAGTGGCGAGAAGTAAATAAAAATGAAAGGAAAGATAAAATATATTATTATGCTAATGCTTTTTTAAAAAAAATATTTATTAAAAGAACCCTCAATTCAATCAATGACCTCGAGCTCCGACATGGTAAGTAAACGAATGTCATTTAAAGTCATGTTACTAGTCATTCATTATACAATTCGTCTTTGAAGAGGCTGAACCAAAATCTTTAAAAAGGAACGAACCGACCTATATAATAATTTGTATCTGAAAAATTTGTTTTAGACTAAGTCTAAAATATCAAAAAAAAAATACGATTTGCAAATTTTGTAAAAATAAAAACATATCCAAAATAAGATTTCATTAAAATTTTAAAACAATTCAAATTTTTTTAAAAAAGAAGATTTTGGACTTGGCCTTATATAAATAAATTGTAAATATTCATGACCAAATAATTTGACAAGTTAAGTTCGAAATTATAGGGCAAATTATTTTTTTTTAAAGTAATATTTTTAAATTTTTGTTTCTCGATTGTATTTAAATTTTAGATAATAATTAAAAGCAGAATTTGAGATGTTCTTAAAGATTTCTCTATTTCTGAAGATTTTTTTGAGAAGGCTTAAACAGTATTTTTGGATCATTACCTGAGATTTGTAAATCACTTTGTAATAAAATAAATATTTGAAATATTTGATATTAATTTAAGCTGTGTCCTAAATATATTGAAAAAAAAACCTCAAAATTAAGAATTTATTTATTTATATTTTTGATATTTAGGACACAGCTTAAAAATTTTTTTCTTTTCAATTTTAAAATTCTTCAAAAGATTTTTTTTGCTTCAAAATTTTTGTCAAAGAAAAATCTTCCAAATAAATTTTTTAACATTTTTAAAAAAAAATAATTTTCATTTAATAATATAGTTACGCATAATTAACAAAATATCGATTCTTATTAAATTTTGGGGTTATATAAACAGGTATTACCTGGTTGTTCTTATACAATATTTCTTTTTTAATTTAACTGATAAATCTAAAATAATTACATTTTGGTGCGTATCGTATTATTCCCTCAATTATAAAATTGATTCACGTGTTAGGCCACGTGTTAGGTGTATTTTCTAAATGTGTTTTAAGACAAATTTGATTATTAAATGCTACAAGAAATTTCATAAACTCTCCAACCCGGAATCAATCCCTTAAAATTTAAGCAGCCTAATTTTAAATTTTTACCCCCCCCCCCCGAACTGTAATCTAGAAAATAGGATAGGCCTCTTCTTAATGTAACTATATTTTGTCAATTATTATCTCTTCTTTCTTTCTTTCTTTCTTTCTTTCTTTTTTTCTTTTAGGTTTTGGGGCGTATCCATTATTATTTTGTCAAATTGTACAACTTTTCAAAATTGATATAGACTTATATATGTTATATATTTCTTTCTAAATTACTAAATTTTTTTTAAAAAAAAAAAATTATTGAAGGGAAAAATTTCCCCTAAAAAGGCGCTCAAGGCGCAAGAATCCCTAACGAGTGTAGATAAGCCGAAAAAGGACAAAAAAGATAAGGACAAGAAAGACAAAAAGGATAAAAAGGACAAAACCGACAAAAAGGACAAGAAAGACAAAAAGGACAAAAAAGAGAAGAAAGGCGAAGACAAAGCGGATAAGAAAAAAGATGCCGGTAAAAAGGGTAAAAAGAGCCCAAGCAAAACTTCAGCCAAGGGTCAGTAAATACATCATTCCCTATTTAAAAAAAAATATGATTCAATCATAGCTACATTTCAACAAACGTGGGTTAGAATTAAACGGAAAATATAAGTTAAAAAAAAACAACAACTTTGACCGTAGTCTTACAAATAGTGAATGTCGACCGACGGCCCAGATCTAGCGGTCTAAGGACCAAAACCCGAAAGGATTGATTGGTCTATTGTGCGACAATTGGTCCAACCTTCGTGTTCAGAGTAGACTTCATATTTAGTCGTTATTGGGCACATAATAAATGAGATACCATTATTCATTATAGTCTTAAATAGTCATTCATCACATCATTCATCTTAAATTCGAGCACTTCTTTATTTCATTTTGATTTTTGAATTGAAAATTGATGGTTAATTTGTGATTCAAAGGTTTTTATTATAGGGTGTAAGTCATCCATTTCTATAGCATCCTTAGAGGATACCTCTACACCTTGGCCTTAAACCACCTTCCCCCTCCCTCTAAAAAAATACTGATCTTAAAATTTTTTTAATAGTTTATAAATGTCTGCCAAATTATTTTTTTAGAAACTAAATATACCAGGGCAGCAGCTTTTACCCCCTTCCTCCCCCGCAATAATTATTTTTGATAAGATAAATGTCATAAGGTCAATTTTATAACAGGGATTGTAAAAATCTAAAATCAAGATATATAATGATAATTGCATCATAAAAATAAGATGATTTATTGCACTTAAAGAAGACAGAATTATTGTAGAACAAGTAAGTCTCACCCCGCATTGAGAGAATCTGCTATACTAGGAAACAGGAAGAAGGGAATATTTTCTCAGCGCCTTTCTAAAACTTCCAGAAGGCTTTTGAATTTAATCATAGTCCAGTTCAGTTCCGTTTTCTCGTCTAACCCCGCATTTACAGTTAGCGCGAATTCGGGGCGAAGTTGAAAGTATACTTCACCGCGAATACGCGCTGACTATGAATACAGGGTAAGATCTTATACTTTTCGGTCCCGTAAATATCCGAGTTCCTGGAGAATACGTATAGTATTGTTACTTCTTGTGACATTCTATCGATAATGCATATGAAGTTATTAAACTTAACTAAAACGGTTGAGTAAAATTAACTATTTCTTAAATGTTACAATATTTATAAATATATTCTATTTTTGCATCAAAAAGGTGCCAAAAAAAGCAAAGGAAAAAAATGATTCATTTCAAGTCTGGTAAATGAAAGAAAGAAAAAATTCGAAATACAATTATTTTTTTTCTAATTAATTATAAATAATATAAGTATATTTTATTCTTTTCTAAAAAAAATATATAATGTTTAATATACATATTTGTAATTTTTGTATAATTTTTTTTTCTCCCAAATTTGTATTTTCACATTTTTATAGCACGTTTTTTTTTATGATTATTAATATTGTAAAGTTTTAAAAAAAAAATTATTTAAAATTTTAATAAAACCTATTAAATAAAGGTTAACTATCAAATTACAAACACATTAATTAGATCAAAATGCTTCGATCTATAGCAGAGCTCTCTCCCTTTCCCTACAAGTTTGTGTCACTGAGACCTCAATAGGGAAGTACCCTAAGATGCAATCACCCCCCCCCCCCCCCCCCCCCATGCTCACTCAAACCTTTTAGAAAGTTATATCTACCTTTAAACATCTCAAAGAGATCTTTCTTTCTTTCTTTCTTTCTTTCTTTCTTTCTTTCTTTCTTTCTTTCTTTCTTTCTTTCTTTCTTTCTTTCTTTCTTTCTTTCTTTCTTTCTTTCTTTCTTTCTTTCTTTCTTTCTTTCTTTCTTTCTTTCTTTCTTTTCTTTCTTTCTTTCTTTCTTTCAAAGTCAATTTTAATATATTGACCATAAACTTGAATTTATATTACCTATTTACATTTACTTACTTAATATATTATTAATATTTTATAAAAAGATGATTATCATTTTTTTTATCATATTCTTTTTTTTTTCAAATTAAATCTCTAAAAAAATAATAATTTAATAAGCTTGTATATTAATGTAGTTTTTATTTAATAGGAAAAAATAGTAATAAAAATAAAAATTTTATTTTATATAAAAAAAAATTAAAAACAAATTATAAAGGAGTTATAAAAAAATTTAAAAATATTATATTTTGTATAAAATTACCTTACTACGATTATTTATAATTAACATAAAATAAAGGAAATTAAATAAAAAAAATTTTTTTAAAAAAAAGCTTTAAATAGTAAATAATATAAAAATTCAAATTTTTGTCATTTTTTTTAAACTTGTTATAATGGTATACTAGGAGCGCACTGGTGATTCGGGGTCAGCTGAAGATTCTTCTAGCGCCTTTATTTTTATGGAGGCACCCTTTATGCCGGCCTTCGGCTCGTTTTTTTCCTAAGTCTTCGGTCGGTTTCCTTTAATTATTCATAATAAAATTATAAATATTTCGCGAAGAACTAGAACATATTGCACAAATAAAATCAAACATACTGGCAAAAATACTTTCACACACATAATCTTAGTAAAGGAATTGAGCGAATATAATATAAATTTTAACGGTAAAATAAAATCTAGCTGTTAACTTCGATCTTTGGCGCAAATCATATTTAATTTTAAACAAATCAATTTAGAGATATAATGGCACTATTATCTATTTTTTTTTGGTCATATCCAATCTTCTCGTTAGATTCATATAAAATATTTAACTATCTCACTCTCCTCTATATCGTTTCTTTGGGGGAGGAGGGAGGCACAATCTTCTTAATATATTTGGATCATAAAAATAACCCCTCCCCCCCTCCTCTCCACACAATTTACTTATGTTAAATTAAAATAAAGAGCTAGTTTCTTCGTTTTAAAATAGGATTCATAAAATATTTGCATTTTTATACCATAAAATTTTGAAACAGAAACAAAACAGAACAAATTAAATATTTATGTGTAGCAAAATGCATCATCTACAAAATGAAATAAAGTATAGATCTCTACCTATAATAGCTTAGGGGGGTATGGTTAATTACGTGAAGTGTGCCATTTCGCCATTTTATCTACCCAGAGTAAAATGGCTCATCAGGGCAAAGTAGTTGAAATAAAATTTTTAATGCTGTAATTTTGACATTCATCACTTTTATTTAAGTATAAACAATAAAATATGGGAATGTAATTTTTTAAATAAAAAAATCAAAAAAAGAACTTTTTGAGTTTGCCCATTTTGGGTACAAAATTTTATTATAAATAACACACAGGCAATTTATTAATGTTCCTTTTTGCTCATAAATATCTCTTTATTTGGTAGACGTTAATATTTAAAAATTCTCTTTTTAAAAGTTTAAATAAGTTGGAACATTTTAACCGTTGCAAATTTTTAAATTATTAAGACTTAATATATTATGCTCAATTCAAATTTAACTAGAGGGAATTTTTTTTATAATATTTGGGTTAAATAGCGGTTTTTTGGCGAAATATGTCAAATAGTTATTCGCGTTATCATTGTTACCCAAATATTTTTCCAATATATTATTTATAGTAAATAAATCATTTTCAATACTATGATTAAATTACGAAATATTAAGTGTAATTTATTTAAATGTTTAATAATTATTTTATTTTTTACATTTTAACTTTTAAATATATAAGAAACAAATTTTGTGGCCTAAAAAAGTATAACTTTTCTTATTTTTTTTCCTCATACGCCAAATAAATTCCAATACTAGCGGGTTGTGTTTGTGACCCTTTGTATATTTTCTCGTTATACTTTATAACACTCATTTGAGCTTTGAAAATAAAGTTTTACAAAATGTCTATTGACACTCCAATGATTAAAGCTAGGGGTAAAAAGTTCATAGAACGAACTGTTTATAAGTATAGTTCGTTGAATTATATAATGTATAATTTGTATACCAAAGATATCATAAAAAGTCTTTTATGTATAAATTATTAATGCCACTTAAAGCCTATTTGCGAATAAAATACTTTAGTTGCCAAAAATTATAAAATTTAATATAAAAAACAATGTATATAATAAATTAGCCTATATGACTGAAAAAAATATTACATTTGGCAATCGCATCTTTTGTATTTTAAAATGAATAAAAGGTTACCTTAGTTTGGTAACGTAGAAACAATGGTCGCTAGGTATATTCAGGAGGGGGGGGGGAGGAGTTTAAGAATTTTATAGGGGACTTTGTTTCCAAACCCTCTTTTATCAAGACTCCGGCCGGGGCCCGCCTAAGATAAACGTTGATTATTATTTTTTGATTTTCCCGTGGTTATTTATATTTTTTAATATATGTGGGCTGAACATTTGAAGGCACTAATTTTAACATATGTTAATGTGGGCTTTATTAACTAAATTTTGGCTAACCTTACATTTCAGAAACGACTGAAAGCATTATTATAAAAAATATATCAATGTTTAATACTTAATTCTATACTTTAATCCGTTTGGTAGATAGAATAAAGAAAATAACGATATCTCTGAAACCTATACCAAATCAATTAGTACTAAATTAGTATATTTCTATTGCATAGAAGTTTTAAATATCTGGTTTGCGTTGATATGTTGCTATTTATTTATTATTTCTTCGAATACAAATGATGATCACAAAAAATAATGAGGCCAGATAATAACTACTATAACACGCCTTAAATGACAAGTCAGCCAAACCTCTAGTGGAAGTATAAATTATGAAACTTATATCAATAATTAGGACATATTTTCTACATTTGTATTTTTACCAGTTTAGTTTAAAAGAAAGTCCAATTACTGCCAAAATAAGAAAAAATTTCCAAGATTATTATCATACCAGAACCAAAATTATAGAAGCACTGAATATCGGAGTAAGCCAATAAGCAATGCCTGATTAGTAATTTACTTTCTCAAATATCAATCAACTTTTCAAGTCATTAAAGAGAAACCACTTTTAAGCGAAATAAAAATTATCTTAAATATCGGATTTTAAATCACGATTCAAAAATCAATTATATATATATACATTTCTTTTTCCCCGATTTATAATATTTTGGAATCTTATGTTTTTACAATCTTTATTTTCGGTTTATATAATAGATTTATAAGTCAAATAGTCAAAATCATATCTTGAATTGAGTTTTATTTTCAAAAATTTAAGACGCAGCTCTAAGTATAGAGTTTGCCCTATTTTAGGAAGCCTTAGTTCTACTCTAATTCTTAAATAGAATATATTTTATTTTAACCTTCAATGCGTTTGATAGACTGGTATGATATATTAATGACATTCGATATAAAATTTTATTTAAATGTAATAAGACTAATTTTTATTTGACTAAATTATCAACCATGGCGGTGACTTCCTATTTGTTATACATCATATCTGGTGCACAAAATCCCTTAAGTTGGCTTAAGAAAAAACCCGGTCCTTCTAGGATTCAAGCTAAGGTCGAACTTTATAAAGTATAATACCGCAATAAATCAACATCTATAGAAACTTAAGTTATTAATTTTTTTTATATATAAAAAATAATTTATTACCTTATCTTATATTTTAAGTAAAAGCACATAAAAAAAAATTGATAACACTCAACGCTATACATCATTACCTTTGGTAGACAGTTTAAATATTAAAAATTTTTTTTAGCAAAATTTAAAAAAAATCTAAAATTGTTATCAAGCATAGGCATCGTGTTGTTAAACGGCTCGTTTTGAGCCGAATTTAAAAAACGGCTAACTCAATGTTTTATTCAGAATAATATTACGCAAGCCTGAAGATTTAGCTTGTAGAAGGAACAAAGGTTAGCGGAATCTAGAGGCTTAGTCAAAATTATCTGGATAAAATTTAACAACACTAGGCATCGATTTCAAAGGAATTAAATTTAGAGAAGCCCATGTATAGCGATAGAAAAAAGAGGCCTTTAATATTCCAAGAAAGGCTAGAATTTATTATACAATCATTTCGTTCATTTAATAAATATCAGGCTCGTAACCAAGGGGGGAGGGCTCTGTTCGCATAAATATCTTTATAATAATCCCCTCCCTCTACACCCCCTTCTCCCCAAAAAATGGATACTATATATCACTATAAGAAAGAATTTGAAAAAAAAGTTTTAGTAAAAGCTAATAATTTTTTTTAAAATAACGACTATGATTCAAAAATTATATAAAAAAGAAAAGTAGAAACCCATTTATTTTTTTTTATAAAAATCTAATATAGCCAAAGGCCTACAATAGATCTCCAATAAAAATTATGGAAAATAAACCCACCTAATGTTGCGGCCATTTAATGGCAAATATGGGCATGGAAACCTTCGCAAATACAATTCTCGACGTGCTGATTTTCCTCAAGCAAGTGAGCACATTGTTCAACTAACAACTTAAATTTGTGACAGCCAAATAAGCAATAAACAACTATTAATAATAGTATATATAATAAGCGAGATTGGCTCGTATAGTAAGTAAATAGAATTCTGTGAAGTGAGCATGTTTTTTTAGTTAATAGTTGTATATAAATCGAGAGCAAAAAAGTGGTATAGTATAATGTATTTTGCGGCTATAAAACTAATTGGAATATTTATAATTGAAATACTATCAAGAAAATTAAGAAAATTATAGTATAATAAATAATGCATAGAAACTAGTGATCTGCATCGGGCCTAATTTTTCAAGCCCGGCCCGGCCCGAAATTTTTTTTAAAAAAATTTACCCACCTATCCCGGCCATAATTTATTTAAATATAGAAATTAATCTTTACAATTACTCAAAATAAAAGACATATGTTATATGTCGTTTAGTTTCAATAAATAAAATCAAATATTTTTATTTTACATAAAAAATTCAATATAAAATTGATAAATTTAGATATATTTAAAAAATTTCCAAGGTCCGACCCCACCCGGCCCGTATTTTTTTTAAAATATTAGGCTCGACCCGGCCCGAACTTGATTATTTTAAATAAAATTAGTTCGGGCCGGGCCGGACTCGGGTTGGGTACGGGCCGGCCTAACTTTGCAGATCTCTAATAATAACTACAATTAACAAAATAGTTTTATAAATGGGGAAAAACTAATAAAGCAATATCTAAATGATAATCTCAAGAAGCATATATTTTTCTGATTGGCATCAAAAATCGCATTTTCTCGCCTACCTGATCTTATGACCAGTGCGCCACTAAATCTATATAAAATATCGATCAACACTGCGTAGCTTTAATATAATTTATGAAGCATCATTTAAATTTAATTTGCATTTAAATCGAATATTTATTAATGAGAATTTTAAAATAAGGTTATTTATTTTCCCATTTTTAAAGGTATTTTGAAATTATAATAATTTTTTAAATCTCAAAATTCAATAATATAGGTTAGATGACTCGTAAAATCACAAAATTTAATAAAATTTTGAACATATGATATATAAAATTATTCATTTAACTTGATTCATATGTATAAATACATCATTTTACCCTTGTTTAATAAAACTGACCATTTAGGCAAAATTATCTTCTATAGTGATGGCTTCCTTAATGGGAATATCTTTGATATTTTTTGCAGGAAGGTAAACCCATATTCCTAAAAACAAATTTTATCCACTTTTCTAGCTTAAAATTCTTCCAAGATTAAAAGGAACTATTTAGTAAAATTATCTTGATAACTATTGGATATTCCCTGACAAGTGCATAAGAAATATGTTTAAGTATTTATATAAACCATAAGAAACCCTTTCTCTTCTATATTATATCTATATATTTGTTACCCTTTACATTTATAATTAATATTTCGAAATATTACCTTGGCTCGGAAAATTAAATGATTATTCGATCACAAAATGAAATGGAGTGTGCACGTTGACATTAATTAATTTTGATTATAAATATTTCGGCAACATAATAATCTCTCACCCTTGTTCTCTCAAATCAGGTATAAAGAATTAGAAATATAGAAATCTCATTATTATTATTAATACATATATACATATATATATATATATATAATATAAATAATTAATTTTGATAACGTTATAGAAAAATATGACAAATCTAGTTTATTACTTATATCAAGATTTACCCAATATCTATCTAACACCACAACAACATTAACATTAATATCTTTTACAGGATAAGAAAACGATTTAAAAATTTCAAAAAAAGGCCTAATGAGCGGGATAATCTTCCGATAAAAATAAATTGAAGGTAGATAGACCAAGGTAATAACACAATCTATATGTTCATCATTATCTTTGAATAAATGAATCTTAATTAAAATAATAAAAAAAATACTTTCCAAAAAAAAAATGTAAAGTTTTAAAGAAAATGTTGAATAAAATCAAATTAAAATTAAAACTATTATATAAATTTAATTTAATTTAATTTGATTTAATTTTTTTTTTATTATTATACTTAAAAAATCGATAGGTTGAATCTAGAAACAAAAAAAACAACTAATATTTTAAATTATATATAAGTGTAATATTCATTAATATTTTTTATACATTAAATATAATAAATAAAAAGTATAAAAAAATTTATATTAAAAAACAAAACTGGATAAAATTTTGGGAAAGTCAAGATGCTTTCTTAATGTTTCCTGAATTTAATAAAATCTTCAATTATTTCAATGCCAAATCAAATAATCATTCTAATAGAATGTCGTTTCTTATATTTTTTTGGAATAAATTAAAATATAATAAAAATTTTTAAAAAAAAAATCGAGGGACAAAATAAAAAAAATTATAATTAAAAATGTACGGATTAGTATTGGAAGGGATAGCTGAACACTTGAAACAAAAGTTCGGGGAAGAGGTATGGACAATTATTATGACCAAAGTCGGAATCAAGCATAGATCCTTCTCGACCCACAAAATATATTCCGAAACGCTTATCCCCAGACTGGCAAAAGTTGCGGAAGAAGTGACGGGAGTCGATCACGAGGTTATGATGGAAGAATTCGGCGCATCATTCGTGACATTTCTCAGTCAATATGGTTACGATAAGATTCTATCCGTTCTTGGCAGGCGAATGAGAGACTTCCTCAGTGGTCTCGACAATTTGCACGAGTATCTAAGGTCCATATCAATTTAATATATTAAAGGTTCCTTACAAAAAATGTATATTTTTAAACATTTTTTTTTTAATTGAGGGGAGAAAAAAAAATCTTTTTATTGCCCAATGTTAAAGTATAAGGGTCCTTATTTAGATCGATTTTTTAAAACGGGCCCGATTAAAATTTTAGTCAAAATGATATTATCTGAGCCTCGGGAATTTGGCAAATAGATATTCCGATCTTTCTGCCATATAGGAGCGAAATCTCCAGGCTTACTACCTAATATTATTTTGGCTAAATTCTTAATTGAGTCGTTTTTTTAAAAAATGACCCCAAATCGGGCTGTTTAACAACACTAGTCGAGAGTTTATACTTTAAAATTAGTAATCCTTGATTAAGCCACAGAATCAAGGGAAATAAAAATAAATAAATTAAATAACTAAGTATATGTTCACTCCAACTGCACCCCCCTAAAACCTTATAAATTTTTTAAAAACTATGTTTCACAATAGAATCAATTCTTTTTTTTTTCAAACGAATCTAAAGAATTTTTCATTCTCCAACAGAATATGCAAATAAAAACTTTTAAATTACAATCATGGACTCCTTCTTGGGAATGGTAACCAAAATTAAGAGTAGATAACCCTTATATTTTATTTGTTTGTAATACAGACACTACTTTCCACAACTGGCAAAAAAAAAATAATATCCATTTTGAATATACAATTAGGTTCACCTACCCAAGGTTAAAAGCTCCATCCTTTTCCACCAGTGAAGAGTCAAGGGAAGGACTCACGTTAACATACAAAAGCAAGCGCAAAGGTTACGCTAATTATGTCAAGGGTCAGATTAAGAAAGTTGGTAGAGTCTTTTACAAAATTGACATAGAAATACAAATGATGAAAGAACTGATATCCAAGGACTCCTACGGAGTCGTGTACAGACTCTATTTCGATAACTCATCCTTTTTACTTTCAGAAGGTGAGGACCCCTTTCATAACTACGCGTTAAATTACGAAAGGTTCATGGGAACGGATTCCTCATCTCTTTACCAGAATAATGGCACGTCTTCCAATGATTTAAATTTAATTCCTTACGATATTTTGAAACTGGATTCTTCCATTTATTATACCGTATTTCCTTTCCACGTCACATTCAACAAATCTATGATGATAGTAAGTGCTGGATCAGCTCTGTTAGCCATCATGCCCGATCTTATCGGACAGAATATTGACGAGACCTTTGCCATCATTAAGCCCCCTTTCGATTTTAGGTGGTCGAAGGTAATTACGTAAATTACGTGTCGTCGTTTTTTTATTTTATTGTTTCGTGGGGTTTATTTATGTAAGTCTAAAAAATATTACTTACATATTTAGAATCTAGATTAAATTTGCAATTTAATGTATATAATATTTAATTATTTTATAAAAAAATTTTTAAAAATTAATTAAAAAAAATATAGAAATTTATATATATATTCGGAATCACCTGTCGTAATTATTAAAGGGATCATACACGGGTTTTATAGGGATAACAATTAGTGTTTTAAATTAAGGAATGATAATATGGGTTTTAACCGTGCGTGATAAAGTTAAATCGTATTTTAAAAACCGTTTTACGCGCATTTCGTTTATTTCTTTTTAATTATTGTTATTTATTAATTTTCAATATTATTTTTTTTGACTTTATGAAATAAGATGATATCTCTAATATAAGGTATCAATCGATAGCTAATCAAAAGTTCAATATTTTTATCAAAACAAATATCGATATGGGTAATCAAATTATAGCTAATTTTATTATCTTTTGACTGAAAATTTTTATTCTTGGTCATGTTGGGCAGGACTAGGTCTGTGGGGTGAGGGAGTAAAAATTAAAAAATTTTGATATGGGTATCAAATAAAAGGTAATTAAAATATCTTTTGTTTGTGATAACTGTTGTAATATGTACATTTACTTTGAAATAAAATCGCGAAAAAAGAAGTAATATTCAAATCGACTGTTAAACAGAAAAACGAAACGAATTATTATATTATTTGAGTAAAGACGATGTAAATGAATAGGATAGAAAAGTATATATAATCGAGGATATTTTACTTGTTAATTATTATTATTTTGCGAACTTAATTTTTCATCTTTTAATTTTTCTTATATTATTTAATTTTTTAAATTTTAGTTATGATTATGTAATTATTACAAATTATATTAATTAATAAAGTATTAGTAGTAAATTTATTTATACTAATTATTTGTCTTCTCTTTAATTCTCAACTACAACATTTGTTACCGAAACATTATTTTCTATGGGCATATTCACTCTAATTAACTTTCATTGTTTGACAATAATAATTATCACTCTAAGTGGGCGGATCTAGGTCTTAGGGGTCAAGAATATTTTTCAACAAAATATCGATATGGGTACCAAATAAAAGTTAATTTCTTTTGACTAAGTAAGTAATTCTTGGTCTTGATGTGTAGGACTTGGCCTGGGGGGGGGGGGGTGGATGCACGGGCCGGGATATATTTTTTTGATATGGGTAACAAATAAAAGGTAATTGAAATATCTTTTGATTGTAATAATAATTAAACTCTAAATGGGCTCTAGGTCTTGGAGGGTCAGGAAATTTTTTATCAACACAAAATATTGATATGACTAACAAATAGAAGCTAATCAAAATATTTTTCTACTAAAATAATAGTATTCACTCTTGGTCACTTAATAGGTTGGATTACGTCCTGAGGAGGGAAGAGTTAAAAAATAAAAATTTGATATGAGTATCTAAGGTAATTGAAATCTCTTAAGACTATAGTATTAAATAGCAGTAAATGGTCGGGTCTAGGGCTTAGGTGGTCAGAATTTGTATAAAATTTCCATAATAAATAAATTGAATATGGATATAAAATACTTCGGAAGTCCGTTATTTATCAATAAATATATTCTATTTATACCTATATTCTATATATACATATATTTTACATATTATTAAAATTGGCTTTCACATAAAATTATAGATAAATCGTAATTTAATGTGTTAATGGTTGGGGTTTGCCTACATAATGTAAAATTAATTTGATTAAAATCATTCTTTTATGCGTTTATACCTAATCTCCCTTAGTATAAATTAAGATTTAGGATATGTCAAAACACAAACCTCGTTAAAAAGACTTAGCCTTTCTTTAGTAGCCACGCCCTCATAATAACAAAATTTTGGGTTGGATAGAATTTTAAGAAATAAAAGAGAATAAAGATAAAACAAATTTTTTAAAATCTTTTTTTCGGTGCCAATACTAAATTCGAAATATATAAAATGCAGTTCTTAAAGTAGCGCGTTATTTTATAGATATTATATAAATATAGATAGCTTTAGCGCGCACCTTTTTAAAAAAAAAGAGCGATAGCGGTAGCTCGGTACTAAATAAAATGGCAAAAATTATTAAAACAATTTTATAATCAATTCTAAATTGATAATCCTTTTATTTTATATTATTTTGAAATTTAATTTTACATTTAAAAATACGCATTATAAATATATTTTTGCAAAAGATTAAAAATTAAAAATTTCGACAGTAGAGATTGATATTGAAGATAATCTTGTTACAGATCATCATGGACAGATATCCCTGGAAAATAACGATAATATGGAATTTCCTTTTCCCAAATTCACAAAATATTTTATCTCTATAAAAAAAATATAAACAGAGTATAAATTTTGTTGTAAGATGTGTCAGAAGGTTTTTTCATCAAACAAGACTAGTAGCATCAACTTGAGAAAACATTTAAAGGTAATATATCCAACAAATTTAATATCAATGTGTAGCTCAATCCTTATTAATTACCTTTTATACTGTTACCCATATCGTTATTTTGCATTGATAAAAATATTCATGACCCCCCCCCCCCCTTCCCCACCCCATCTAGACCAAGTTATACTCATCAAGACCAATAATAAATACTATTAATCAAGAGATATTTAAATTCGCTATTATTTGATACCCATATCGATATTTAGTTTTGGTAAAAACATTTCTGACCCAAACCTAGACTCGCCCATTAATGGGAAAATGTTGATCTCTAATAGAATAGATCTTTTGATTAGCTATCGATTGATACCCTATATTCGACATATCTACTTTCATAAGTCCCCAAAAAACATTGAAAATAAATAAAAAACAATAATTTAAAAAAAAATAAAAAGCGCTTAAAACGCGTTTTAAATTGAGCTTCTTCTTTATCATGGTTCAAACGTGATAATACCGTATACTTCTTTATCTATGACTATTCTCAACTAAATAGGCATTTACAATTGTATGCCTTTAACCAGATAGTCATTAATTAGACTCAATTCTTATAATTTAACGTCCCTTAAAATATGAAAGGAAAGTAAAATGAGGGTGTGCAAAATTTATAAAGGGAACAGATATAAATCCACACACGTTGATTATACATATTGGTTTTTTGTTTAAAAAACTGTGTTTTGAAACATAAATGTGAAGTTTGTTTGGCAATTAAATTGAACTTATTAATAATAAATGCTATTATACTTTTACCCACTTTTAAAGGTAAACGTAAAGAAATTTTTTGGAAAATTATAATACATAAAATTATTGTTTCAAACAAAAAAAAATTAATGGATATTCAAATTTTAATTTAAAATGCGGTGAATCCCTATTTCAAATCATAAAATTATCATTTCCATCATACATTGTTAATGAAATTAATTTTTTTTGACCTTTTTAAATATAGATTTTGGATCATTTGAACAACCTTTTCGAGTTGATAACTATAGTTCCTATACAAAAAGATGAGGATGACCTTGCAGCGGACAATTATGGTGAAATGCAACATTACTTTTAGATAAATTAATCCAAAACATCTGTTGAACGGAGTTCTTTAGATCATCTTTTCCATAACCCAATGAAGATAAGACCCCCCCCCCCCAATAATGAATATAACTTTTAAAATAAATAATAAAAATAAATAAATAGATTTGATAATTAATTATTAAAATAATGGAACTATATTTACTATCATGATAAGAGGTGACGTTAAGGAGTAGATTATTTAAGGAAAGCAATAGATCGCAAAATGGTGGGCATTTAATTGGCTAGGAATGAAAAAGTACCAGCCTCCCAAGTTTGTAAATCAAATACTGAAAATGATTTCGGGGGAGAATAAATCATTGAGTGGAAATCAAATTGAATAATCCTAATAAAAGAAATGGACTGAATTTTGGGGAAATTAAAAAGATTTAAAAGGAGTTACAAATTAACGACCTAAATTAGAGGTCGGCAAAATTTCACCCGATCTTCTTTGGCTGTTAAGTTTATTTGCCTATATTGCCCACACTGGCCCTTTAAACATTTTGCCAGGTCCGGTCAGTTAATAATATTTTTTTTAAAATTTGTTCCGACCCTTTATAATTTATAAAAATTTGCCAAACCTGGCCGGTTAAATTTTTACGTAAATCCCCTGGATTCCGACGGGGCTGGAAACTCAACCAGGGTCGGCTTTGCAGATTTCTAATCCGCATAAGAAAAGATTAATAGTAATATATTTTTTTAATTGTTAAACTCCGCTGCTGTGGAAATGTTAAAATGGTACGTTGTTTTCTATTTTTATAAAATTATTTTTCAAAATTGTAGGCAAAAAATTGTTGCAATATTTTTTTTAAAACTGTCTTATAATCCTCGTGGAAAGGAAGGGTTCAACACTCATATAACGTGTTGAGGGATTAGGGAAGGAGAGGGTGTTTGAATAGGGTGGTTCTGTTTCGAGGTCGGGGAGAGGAGTTGTAATAAATAATACATTTTGGGACAAGTTTAATTTCTTGAAAGGACTGATACGAGTACGAATCTAACCCAAGAACCGACGATTCGTACATTAAAATACACAAAGTGTGAATATATTGAAATAAGAGGTATTTAGACGAAATGTGAAAGCATTAATGTAGAAATGGCGTCTATTCAGTGGGCCTCTATAACGGAGGGGGAGGGCATGGAGCAATAAAATTTTATTTTACTAATTTTAAAATATGCTCAAAAAATATTAACCCCCCCAAAAAATACAAATGCTTAATTAATAATTACTCACAGTTTTATATGAGAGATGATAAATGGACGGACCATATTAGAAAAACGCATGGTGGGCTAAATTTAAACGATGAAGCTTTTAAAAACTTTATTAAACTATTTGCAGATTCGAAACCTGTCCTCACATTGTATATCCATAAAAAATGAAGAAAAAAAGAAGGAGAAAAAACATAAGGGATTATAATCCAAATTATACTCTATTCTTATAATAATAATAAATATTCTAATTGAAACCATTAAAATTATGGTTATAAAAAAGAATTGAAAAAGAGATTGAATTTAACAGGGAATTTTCATTATAGTTGATGGCTTATGATATCTAAATCAGAAGCAGTAGCTTTGTTAGTAAGATATATTGATTGCATGAATCTACTTCTCTAATTCTTAGTTGGGCAGAGGATGGTGCTAACATGAGTGGAAGGATCATAGGAATGAAAGTACTGGGGGGTATTCTGATTCCATGGCTCAGAAAGTGTAGGGGCCACCGCGTCTATTGAGCCTTAGATATTGACTGTATAGCTTACTTCAAATGTATGTACAACACTTTTAATGAATGCATCGTAAGTTAAGGTTAGTACTCAATATCGTATTTATAACCAAAAAAAATTACATCATTGATATTTCGATAAAATAGGATTTTATTTTGAATTTCAGTCTTTTCTACCTAATACCTTCCATTTCTTTTAGAAATATCGATCAGGAATTTATAGAAACACTCTAAAACTATGTCATATGATCATATAAATTTTTTAAAAATATAATATACATATCAAGACACTCTTATCGATATCTCGGAGCATAGTTTACATTTGAAAGGACAGATGGTGTATTTAGACCAACTCCAATATTTGAACTTCTTGGGAACGCCCGTGTATATTTAACTAATATAACACTAATATAAAAACAAAATTTTTTTTTAAAAGAAAACGTTGTTTAGAAGAGAATACAATAGTCAGAATGAAGCAAGAATTATTTTAGGAGTATTAGTTGAGTTTTTCCGCCATAAATTTTATTGAAGGTTTTTAGGTCCACCTATGACTGACAGGTCTCTAAATTATGTTATATGATGCTTCTTTTTTTAGAAAATTTTGAATTCTAGTCGTTGTAAAAAATTATTAACTTTAATACTTATTTTTCAAATTCTTGTTTATATTGATATTTTGTATACAATATTTTGGGAGAGAAAGAGAAGTGAAGAGAGGTGAATGGGGGGGGGGGTAATTGTAAATATTTTTATTCGCCTTAACTCCCTATCTCGTCCCTCCCATTTCTACGCGCCTACGAATTTATTTATACTATAAAAATTTGTGATGTTTTAAAGTTGTTAATTTTTTTTTTTAGAATGCAAGAATTGGATGATATGGCCAAGTTCGGACTCTACATTAACGATTTATGCATGCATGACTCTTCGAGGGATTTACTTCTAGCAGGCACTCAACAAAGTACCGAATTAAAAGCGGCCGTTGATCAAGTTTCTTTCCCCTTGTATTATCATATATTGTAAAATAGGTTAACCAAGATAAATAAGAGTTTTTATCAGCAATGTGTTATTTTTATTAGGTTTAGTTTAAATCATTATTTGAGCGCTTTTTTGAAAATTTTGAAATATGATTTCACTGGAAATGTATTCCATAATGTTTAGATACCCAACCTATGAATTTCAGACAAATTTGCTATGAACTTTTGAACTTAATATGATTTAAATTAATTTTTCCATAGATTTTTTATAAAAATTTAAAATGACTCAAAAAGGTTAATGGAAATATTTTCTACAATTTATAAAGTAGGTATATGCTAAACTTGGAATATATTTCCGATAAAATCAGATTTTTAAATTTAGAAAAACCTTCTTAAAAAATGATTTAAAGTTGAAAAAATAACATATTACCGGAGAAAACATATCGACGCTAACATAAATAAAGAGTAGAGATCTTCAGGGTAAGTATGGTTGGACTTACTTTTCAACAAATAATTTTGGTACGGGTTCAATTATGTGAAATCAAAATAAATATATTATGAAATTTTTTTGTGCAGGAAACAAAGCGCAAATATTTTTTTTTATATTTATTTGTGGAATATAATTTTCAGCGGAGATCCTAAAGAAAATTTTTAGACAAAGAATATCTCTCGAGATGTGTAGATATTATTTTATTCTCCATCCTCGGCTCTCTAGTAATGCAAAAATCCCTCCATTTGAGTCGATTTTTTTAAAAAAACTGAAAGATATTATGCGCAAGGTTTGTAAATCTATTAATGAAATCTTGAGAGTTTAGGGCAGTATCTAAAATATTAATAGGCTAATGGAGCTATTTTGCATCGCTACTCAGCGCTCTATGCCTGACAATATATCTTTTTAATCCACGCCCCCTTCCCATCCCCGTTTTTTTAAAATAGTTTAGTTTATATAGTTGAAATTTATATTTTTTCTTCTTCTTCATATATTATAACTATAAGTTTTATATATATTTTTTTGTTAATACATATTTTTTTAAACGTTTTTTAATAATTGAAATTTGAAAATCTAATAAATTTAATTTTTAAAAAATATTTAAGGAATATTAAATTTTACTTATAGTAGGAAAATAGGCGCCATACTAAGATTGTTATAAAGCCCGATTTGGGTCTAGACCTGATTAAGATTTTAGCCGATATAATATTATGTATTCCTGGAAATTTTGCTTATAGATGGGAGGAAGGTTTGGATCTCTATTTGCCAAATCTCGAGGCTTACATAATATTATTTTGCCTGCGGGATTTTTATTAACAATCCTACGCCATATGGTTCCACGTCAATTCGGCGCGGAAAATTCGGCGCGGCGACAATTCAGCGCAACGTCAATTCGGCGCGGCGACAATTCAGCGCGTGTCTATTACAGTTGCAATTTGTTATATATTACTTAGTATAAAAAAATAAGGATTAAATAGAAATCATTTTAGAAATCATTTTGAATGTTGGTCCTATTAATTATTTCTCCATATTTATTTTTACAAAAATCTCAATTGTATTTACTAAATGTATATCGAAAAAAATTAACTAATATTTAATTTCTTTAAAGGACTATTTTACCACGTTACAAGGTATGTTGATTAGTAGCCAATATTATGTAAGCCTGGATATTTTGCGCATAGAAGGAAAAAAGAAAAAGAAAGATTTGACCTCTATCTATAATCTTATATATTATTTTGGCTACAATCTAAATCACCGTTTTTAAAAATAGACCCAAAATACCCCCCTGATAAGTACTATAATGTTAAATCTTAAATCCCCTTTTCATGCCTAATTTTTGATAATAATAGAAAAAAAAATTAAAAAAGTTTAAAAAAATAATATACCCCCCCCCCCCCCCCCTGATAATATGCCCAAAATCTCGGCTTACATAAAATTGGCTACTAATCAACATACCTTATGTGATAAATTGGTCAACGGTTGTATTCCATATTAAATCAACCAAAAAAAGTCGATTCTCAACCCGACCCCCTTCGATTTTTTTAAAAATTTGTATGTTGGTAGTATATACACTAACTAATAAAAATGTAAAATTTTACTTTTCAAATCGGCTTACTTCATGAGATATGGCCATCTTTAGAAACGCGAAAATTCTAAAATACAGTATATTTAATTTTAAATATCTCAAAAAGTAATTAAGCTGAAGGCATGATTTAAATTTTATTAAATAGCTCTAAAATAGCCCTTTAATATGATATAAAAATTATTTTATTAATAAAAAGTCTATTACCAAAAACCGGAAATATAAAACCGGAAATAGCTATAAAATAAAAATTGCTCTTTTTTTTTCTTTCAAATTTTTTTTACAAATAGACATTATACTCTTTAATATTTGTACAAAATTTTAGATTGGGACCATTACTGGGCCAATAGTTATTACGCTTTAAATATAAATAATATGGCTTAAATCCTAAATTATACCAAATATATAGTAATTTACGAAACAAATAAAAAGAAAATTCCTTTATGATCGGGCCGATTATATTTTTTTATAAATGTTTCAGGCTGTGAGCCCACTAGTAGACATTATGTTATAAACATATAAGTTTAGCGAGTTTATTTTAGAGAGAAAATAATTGTAAAAATATTTATAACTTTATTTAGCTAATTATTTATATTACATGAATATCAAATGGAAAATTAATATTGTTATAAACATATTAAATTAAATAATATCATACATTAAATTATCTAATGAATTAGAATAACGTTTGACTTTCATTTTTTCCATTAACTTTCATTGATATAAAATTATTCATACCTAGCATAAGTCTGCTGTTTTCGTCAGAATTATAAAATTCTATTACTTTATTTGCAATGTCATCCGGAATTATTCTACTTGGTTTTATGATATTTGGGTTTGACAAAACACCCTTTTCTTCAACTAATTGTTTAGCTGTCCGGGCCATAAAATTTGTGGTTGAAAATTCCTTTTCAATTTTATCAAGAGTCCAAGATTTTGTAAAACTGTTAAAATTTGTATTTTTTCATTGCGAGAACTTGTAGCAAATTTTTCTTTCAGTTGATTTATGATTTCGGCTTCATCTTTTTTTGCTTGATCCTCTAGATTTATTTTAAAAACTTTTTTAATTTTTCCCTGAATTTTCAAAAATTTATTTACAGGATATTTTTTTTCATTTAACCTTTTCTTTTTAAGTCTCCCCTAAAAATGGCAAAGTTTCATTTAAAGTTGAAATTGAAGTATTAAAATCTGTATAAAAGTCGGGATTATTGCATGGTTGATCAGGTTCAGAATCGCTAAATGTTTCATTAATAGTTGAGGTAGAAGGTAAGTTAGAAATAGAAGGTAATGTGATCGGGATCGTAGAAGTAAAAGGTGAGATCAGATTTGTTGAATATTTTTTTAATTTTTTCCGGCAAGAGCTACAAATTTTTTGATTAATTGATAAGCTAGAATTCACTTCTCTCATCCATTGTAAAACATTTCTAAGATCGTAACGTACTGAATGAGATTTTATTCTAAAGGGATTACAGCACTTTACTGGAATATAAATATCTTTTCTAGACATTTAAATTTTTTTGGTAAGGAATAAAAGATAGCTATTAATTTTATATAATTATTTTAAATTAAAAATAAATTGGATAATGAATACCGGTAATTTAATTTTCTTAGAAAAATGGCTTTATAAAATTAATCAATATAAATGACGGCTGTTGCTGTTGGAATTGAATTTGATTTTTATGATAATTATTTTATTTGATAATTAATTATAAGTAGAAAATAATCTTTATGAAAATATATTTCTGACTATCACAAAGATAATTTTTTATTTGGCAAAGAAAATAATCTACATAATTCACTCATAGAATTGCGAGGTCAAAAATCTCGAATTTAAGAAGAAAATTTTTTTTTTTGGGGGGGGCGAATATAAATCTTAAGATGGGGTTCGGATTTCAGTTTTAATACTATTATTCACAAATATTATCACTTTTGTTAAAAAAATAATTACTCATTTCGTATAATATAGAATTTAAGCCATACTATTTATATTTAAAGCGTAATAACTATTGGCCCAGTAATGGTCCCAATCTAGGATTTTGTACAAATATTAAGATATATAATGTCTATTTGTTAAAAAAATTTGAAAGAAAAAAAAGGGTAATTTTTATTTTATAACCATTTCCGGTTTTCTATTTCCGGTTTTTGGTAATAAAATTATTTTCAATATAATAAATTTTATATCATATTAAAGGGCTATTCTAGAGTTATTTAATAAAGTTTAAATTATACCTTTAGCTTAACCCTTTAGGTTCCCTCATAAAATTAATATGATGCAACACGATATTTACTAATTTTTTTATTGATTCTAATATAATATAATATAAAACACACAAAAAAAGTTTTTTAAATTCAAAATGGCGGCTCTCCCTGGTGGTTTTAAATTCATATCATTGACACCTTATGGAAACTTTCAAAACAATTTCTATTTTTATTTAGACAGAGTGGTACGTTGCATGATTTGCACGACCACCTTGTTCTTCTGGGATTTAACTTTGTACTACAGAAGGTACACCTTCGTGAGGTTCCTGCTTGAGGTTGATGAGCTGAATTTTTTAGTCTAATTTCTGGAAGGATATAAGGTTTATTATTTTTTCTTTGCATTGATATATAATTATTATCATTATGAATATTATCATCCCTATTAACATTTTTACAGTATGCCAATTCGCTAGCAATTATTTGTCTTCGGAATTCTTTCGATGAGAGTTTATTATCTGTAAGAATATTGTATATTATGAATGAATTGATAATCGCCGCATCTATCAGCCAAAAGAATATTGGTAGCCACCATAAGACTTTAAATGGTCGAAATGGTCAACAGACCCCATATATTTATTATACATCTTTATCATTATTGGACATTTTACGTCAAAAACTTCCCCTTTTTTATTTTTTCTCTTCACAGTATCCACTGATCTCGGATCAATATAATTGGACATTATAAATACGTCACGATTATCTCGCCATTTAATTATACTTATATTATTTTTGTCACTTCTCCAGTCAAACTCACCTCTTTTTAATTTTGTTTCCATATTCTTTATGGGCAAGTATCTCCTATTTTTGTTTAGTGTTCCGCTAGCATATATACCTTTCTTTTTTAAATCGGCCATTAGAGTATAACTCGTAAAATAATTATCGAAAAATATTTTATGATTTTGAAGTCCTTCACAAAACTTTGTTACAACATTATAACCAAGATTACTTTCAACCTCTTTATTTTTCCCAACATAGATATTAAAATCATTCATATATCCTGAATTATCGCATCTCATCCAAACCTAAAAATATAGTTTAGCCGAAATAAATAATGACAAAATTTACACATTACCTTGAAACCGCGTTTCGTGGGTTTCTTAGGCATGTATTGCCTAAATCCTATACGGCCTTTGAACCTAATCATTCCTTCGTCAATTGCTTGATATTCCGAGGGAAGAAAATATTTCAAGCAAGAGGAACGGATATTATCAATGAATGGTCTTATTTTGTATAATTTATCATAATTTTCATCATTTCTCGATGGTTCTAAGATATTGTCATTTATATGGATGTGGGCCATAAGCCAAATAAAACGTTTTACTTTCATTATGGATGAAACAAAATTGTCATGGAATTCTGGTTTAGAACTCCAATAATCTTTGTAATTTGCAATAGTTTTAATTCCAAAGAGTATATAAAGACATAAAAATTTTCTTATTTCTGTAGGATTAGTTGGTTGATATTTAATATTTTTTTGTTGGGCATATAAATTGGTATTGAATGTAATTGTATTTATTAGAGAATCATTAATAAATTTCTTATATATATCTGATGGATACAATGGGTCCGTTTTTAAAGATGATATTGGACCTGATATTTTATCAAATTCTAATGCTGGTTGTGAAGAATATTTCTTGGACCAGATAGGATTATTATGGTTTGTAGCAGATTGATCATACGCATCTTGTTCAGAATTGTCATCAATTTCAATTTGATAAGGTGTATCCGATTCATAATCATCACTATCAATTTGGTAACGTGTATCCGATTCATAATCATCTTCGGAATCAGTGGATGAGTTGTCTAACGAAGAACATTCAGATGGAATGTCCAGATAATCATCCATATATATAACAAGCTAAAATTATTGCGAAATGAGTTGGCAAAATTTATCAATTATTTAAAAAAATAAATATTAAAAATATTGTTGTTAAGTGGCAGTGGTTAGTTTAATATACCACATTAAAAAGATCAAAATAATATATAAATATTATTTATTTGAGCAAAAATAAATATTAGAAAGATAGATAAAATAGTGAGGAATATATATATTTAAAAATATTTGATAAATATACTTACTAAAAATCGAAGAGGGTCGGGTTGAATCAAATATTGGTTGTTAATTTTTTTTGATATTACACATTTAATTTTTGATTTATATAATAGAAAAAATTAGCCTAAGCATAATATTTTTTTTAAAAAGGTTTAATAGAATTTAAGGATTTTTAATAAATCTAAAAAGTGAGTCAGTCTTAATTTTATTTTTTTTGGACCATGGCTGGGTCTATTTTTAAAAACGGTCGATTTAAATTCCAGCCAAAATATTATGTAAGATTCGAAATAGAGGTCCAAACCTTTCTTTTTCTTTCTTTCTTCAAAATTTCGGCTTACATAACATTGGCTATTAATCAACATATCTTATGTGGTAAATTGGTCAACCAAAGAAATAGGTATAAATATTGGATGTTAATTTTTTTTGATATTACACATTTAGTAAATAAAATTGAAATTTTTGTAAAAATAAATATGGAGAAATAATTAATAGGACCAACATTCAAAATGATTTCTATTTAATCATCCTTATTTTTTTATACTAAGTAATATATAATAAATTGCAACTGTAATAGATACGCGCTAAATTGTCGCCGCGCCGAATTAACGTTGCGCTGAATTGTCGCCACCCTCAATTGATGCTGTGCTGAATTGTCGCAGCGCCGAATTGAAGCTGTGCCGAATTGTCGTGCGCCGAATTTTCCGCGCCTAATTGATGTGATACTACGCCATATATCTTTTATTTTGGATCTTTAAAAATTAAAAATAAAAATCTCATGATTTTTTTTTAAAAAAAAACACATTTCTTTCACATATAAAACCTTTTAAATTAAATTCAATATATAATTTTTAGATATGAATATTTTTATTTTGATTTATAATCAAAAATCTTTTCTAATATTAACGGATAAATAAAAATTAATATTTTAGATCCGATTTATTTTTAAAAATAACACATAAAGAACGCGGCGTATAAATGTAAACCACATTTAGGTAGGAGTAAAAGTATGGAACAATTTGAAAATAGATTTTGATAATAAAGATAAAATAACACTAAAAATAAGGTAAAATAGTAAAAAAAAACTCTAAAATTTTTTTTGATTAATTTCTTTATTTAAATAAATTTGGGTTCTGGGGTGAACAAATAATTTTTATTTTCGAATCGCGTGACAAATAAAAAATTTGTCAAGGATAGAACATGCTTAAAAAAGGCCCGATGAAAATCATTAAAAATGGTTTAATAAATATTTTCCGTTAGATCCCACAAATTTTTAACAAATTCTATTGATATTAAATCCAAAAACTCCAAATGAGTGATTCGGAAAGATGGAACAATAGAACTAGTTCTGTTATATTGAATGAATAAAAAAAAACTATTGATCGTCAATGGTTTTTTCTAATTTTAAAATTTTATTCTAGGAACAATTGAAAAGTAAAAAGATAGCCCTAAATATGAAGCGATTAGATGAAGAAGTAAAAAGAACTGATCAGCTCTTGTATCAAATGATACCCAAAGCAGTGGCCGATAGATTACGTAAAGGGGAACCATCGGTCAACACTTGCGAAGTTTATATCATATTTATCCTAATTATAATTGTTTACATTTCAACCTTTAACGTGGAAAAAGAACTTCGCAATCTTCCGCCCCGTTATAAAATGAAAAGCGTATCTTAGACATACAATTTATGAAAAACTTTTTAAAAATTTAAAATATATTAAAATATTTTACATAGGGGTTTTTATCTATATAATTAAAACGATAAATTTCCTATAGGTTTGAAAATCGGAATTAAATTTTTCTTATGTTAGATATTCAATGCCGTTTCTATATTATTTACTGATATCGCCAACTTCAATGTCATATGCGCCAACATTTCTCCGATGGACGTCGTCACAATGTTAAATACCATGTATATGACTTTCGACAAAATTGTATCAAATCATCACGTCTACAAAGTATTCATATTTTTTATTTGAAGCTATATTCTGTGATTAATGACATGATTATATCTATAAAAATGTTATTAGTCTTTACGGGTATATAGGTTCCTCTTTATTCTAAAGTCTGCTTAGCAATCCATGTAGCTTCCTCTAAACAGCCTAAAAAGATAGAGGCTAAGGCTATTAAGATTATGTAAAAGATTAGTTATTTTATATCGTAAAAAAAATGTAATAAATAACAAATAATATTTATTTAATGTACAAACTTAAAACAAACCAAAATAGGGTGTCCTACTTCAAATCTGTTTAATCTGGGGCTAAGCGGAAAATAAGTTTCAAATAGGACGAAACGGGGGATGGTTTTAAGATTTAAGATTCTGTAGATATCTTTATGGTATTCCCCCAAAAAATTTACAACTCAAGGGAAGTGTGATCATTATACACATAAATCTATTTTCAAAGATTGAGTAGTATACCGCGATTTTTTTGTAACTATGATATAAGATCTCAACACATTTTAAAAATAAATTAATCTTCTTTTCTCTAATTATACTATGTCTATTTTTATATTAAAATACCCAAAAAATAAGAAATTCAATTAAGTTAGAGTTCAAAGCTAAGGTTAACTTGCTATAGTATATACATGTAGAGATCCTTAACAACAACCAAAAGAATTAATGATTTACTAATTTTGGGCACGCGAAATGTAGGTGGAAACTATAGCGGACGCGTATATGATAGTGTCAGGAGCCCCTATTGTGGCTGAGTTTCATGCTCAATACCTCGCAGAGGCCACGTTCGATATTTTAGCCGCCTGCTCTAAACTTATTGACCCATTTACGAAAGGGAATTTACAAATTAGATTCGGTTAAGTGAATCCTTATATATTGGAAATAAATATTAAATAGAATTATAAAAAAAGGCTTAATATTTGCCATATGCATTGATGTACATTAAGAAATATGATTGTTGTTAATAGGTATTCATTCGGGCGCCGTGGTAGCGGGTGTGGTAGGAATTAAAATGCCAAGATATTGCTTGTTTGGGGATACAGTTAATACGGCTTCTCGTATGCAATCCGCGAGCGAAGTAAATTTTATATGTTTTGGGATGTTCATTTTTTTTATATATGTATATAAATAATTTTATAATAGATAATATACATGAGACGAGATTTTTTTTTTGCATAAATTACTTAGATAATTTAATGGAGATCAATAAAATCTTTCCATCAATTTGTTATGTAGCGGAGTTCTATATAAATACTATTATACTTAATGTTAGCCCCCAATCAGTTTAAAGGGATAGTTTAATTATAATTTTAAATGTCAAACTTAAATTAATGTCTGTACAGATATTAGAAAATTTGTTTAAAAGTTTGTAAAGATAGTATAAAAATATGGGGAAATTTTTTAAAATGATATATTCAATAAAGCCACTCAAAATTCACATAAGTGAGACAACTAAAAAACAGCTGGAGGGTTTTCCATATCATGTCGAGAAAAGAGGAGTCATCGATATAAAGGTTATATACACAATTTCATTCTTTTACATTTTATTGATTTAGAAATTTACTATATTTATTTGATATTAATATAAATAAGTGTATTCTTTTAATTTTAAAATCATTTTCACTTGGACATCATTTATTTTGTATACAGGGTAAAGGAACAATGGAGACCTACTGGTTATTGAATAAAACGCTAGCGAATTATTCACCCGCGTTGGAGGCCAAACGCAGGGAATACGAAGCGATAATATCCAAAATTGATAGGAGGGGGTCAATGTTATCGATGGAGAGTAATATAAATCTCATCAGCAAAAAAAATCACCCGGAAGTAGAAATAGTGGATGATTATGATTATTTGGGAGGAGACGAAGTCAAAGAATCTGGTTTTACTTACAACCCCGTGACCATCATGGATATCGCTAAATCCCAGAGCAGTCTGCATAGCAAAGTGAGTACTGTTCTGCCCTCTCTAAATCCGCCAGTGCCTGATGATCAAAGAACTTCATCCATGCTATTAAATCTGCCTCCAAGAATATCGTCGGATGATTTTACTGGAAACCATTTTTTGCCCATCGATGCCATGTCATCTCAACAAGGTAAATATATTATAATGAAAAGGGAGAATCGTCCTCGAAAATCAAAATCTACTATTAGCGCTGCACCGAATGCATCGGATAATGTCGATCATAAACCCGATGACGTAAATATTATGAATAAGATGAATGATCGCTGTCATTTCATAAAAAATGATTTAAGTAAACAAACCAACAATGCTAAAACATCCGACTTATCATTTAGACCGATAAAAAGGAGCAATATTTTTAACGGAACCTCTGGTTATGATCTCCCGGTAAACACCAACGATATCTTTGAAAATAAAAACGATAATGTGTCTAAGGAAATAAAATCCGATCATCTAAAGAATCATATTAAAACATTTAATTATAAAAAAAGTTCTGAAAAACTCGCCCTTATTAAGAAGAGTGATAATAATAATGAATCCAATAATATTAATAATAATAAACCTATCAATAATCAAGAGTTATCTGGAAAACAAATTCAAAACTCTATACCAAAAAATAAAGCCATTTTAGTGAAAAGTAAAATGTGTAAGATATTGTAAAAATGCACTGTAATATCTAATTTTTGTATAATATTATATTTATAAAATACCAAAAAAAAATATTACCACAATATATTATAATATAGCATTACATTATAGATTTAATGTTATACATCACAAATAGTAAATTATTTATTTTTGAATTAAAGTAAATGATCTATATATAACTCTTTTTGAGTAAAAATATTACACATGATTTAATGATTTAAAATTATACACCCGACTTTTAAAACAATTGAATATTTAAAAAAAAAAATATCATATTTTTAAATATCAGATACTCGGGGGAAAATCCTGCGGGGAAAACGGAACCCCCCCTCCTTCTCCGGAATATTTTTTGATGAATATATTTATATAATCCTAGAAACATCATCTGTAGAGGTAAGTTAGACTTAACCCTAAATAACAACCTTTAACCAATTTACAATTATGTGAATGATGAAACAATAGTTCCATACTTTCTATATCAAATTTTAGTTAAATAAATCAAAGAAAAAGCCTATTTTACCCTAACTCCTGCACCGCGAGTTCACGCCTGTGAATACAGAGTAAGGCTATACTCGGTTATAGCTAATTTTTGTAAAATAGATTTCCATTTTAGTCATTCCTGATTTTTTTTTCTTTCAAGAGTCATTTTATTTAGAAGATTTTTTTCCCGAATAATACTATAATACCAATATTATCGTTGTATACAATAAACTGTGTTCCAATTGAACTGATACCCTTTTTGTTTTAGCAATAAATCTGTTAATTCTAAATATAATTTAAGAAAGTTTTATAGATTATGAAAGGGATAAATTCTCATTCTCTGCAAATCTCATTAAATTATTTCAACAGGGTCTATGTACATTCAAAGTTAGATGAACAAAGTTGAACCTACCAGTATGTAACTAACCATGTTAATAGGATTCCCGAAAAGTACGTACCAAAGAACTTCTACGAAAATATCCACAGAGGTTAGTTCAATTCATATGTTTCACAGATTAAAAGATGTTTACAGTAACTCCAACTGTAAATTTGTAGAATGATAGGGTGTTACATAGCAGTTTTAATGAGAAAAAAAAAGATTGCCGCCAATCAATTGCTTCATACTCGTTCAAATTTCTCTAAATGGGTTATAGTTTCAGTTGGGGTATTAAGTCTTGACTGCACATAACTTATCTTTATTGATCCAGGAGTCGAAATATATGGTGCAAGCCGTTTACTCGGCACGCACTTATTGTCTATTACTCAAGAATTGTCGAGTAAATTTTTCCTATATTTCAGCAAGACAAAGTCCAGTTCCCTGAGCCAGAGAAACTATGGATGTGCTTCAATCCGATTGATTAAAAGTTATGGAGCTTCCTTAAAGAACTTGTTTATCAAATACGCATACTCTATGTTGACAATCTCAAACAGCCACTTGTGAAGGAATAGAATCATTTTTCAAGGAATCGTTGATTATGCAATCAATGAATGGCGAGATCTCCTTAGAGCATGTATTCGAGCTAATTGTGGGCATTTTGAACATCAGCTTTGAAATACAACATTTGACTCAAATTAATTATATCAAATTTCTAAAATTTAATTTAAAAAATGAATTTTTACATGTTGGAAAGTTCGAATTTTATTTGTCCAACATTGAATAGGCAAAAATTTGGACCCTTTTAATAGAATTTAATAAAATTTGTAGAAACTCAATTTATAAAATTATAAGGAATTATTTTTAGAATTGAGATTTATTGTTAAACAAAGGAGTAAATGCTTATAAATTTGAATCGTCAATATCTCAAAATCTGCTGACGAAAGTAAAATCCTTCGTTGGAGTCAGTCACCTGTAATGAGTCTCTTTTTTTTAGCGATGATTTTGATAAAAAGGAAACCCTCATTTCAGGACATCCCTAGGATTTTATAGTTCTTGATGTAAAAATTCTGTTCATAAGGCCGGCGTATTTATTTTATTTAAAGATTTCTGCCTCTTCCATGGCAGAAAATGTGAGGTTAGACTTCACTGCAAAGTTAAAACACGTATATTATTGGGTCAATGGAAACCCCTTCGTTCATGAGAGAGATAAGCAGAGTTGTTAAAAGATACTTTTTAAATGGATCTAGATACAGATACAGATACATAGTCTCAAAAGTTATCTAGATACAGATACAGCGTCTAAAAAGTTATCAAGATACAGATACAATTTTTAAATGTATCTGTATACAGATACATTTTTATTATGCTCTTATAGGTTTGCATAAACCTAAATTAATATTATATTGTGAAAATTCATGAAATGAGCTAAAAAATTTATTGACGCTATATTACATTTATCAGAATATAACTAAAATAATGATTTTAATATTATATATGATAATATATGATTAAATAATTATAAATAATTATTAGATTTCAGTAATAAAACATTTTCAAAATTTTGATCATTTAGGCATCCTCGTTTATCTGTAAAGACATTTTTAGCAACACTAAATAGTCTTTCCACAGGGGCGCTTGAAGGAATTGTAGTGTTATATTTAATAAATAACAATTTTATATCAGGGTATTCTTTAAAAATGCTAAAATCTCTACATTCATTTTTGAAAAAATTATTTAAAATTTGTTGATTATCAAAATTTAAATCATTATTAGAAATTATATCTGCTGTAGGGTACTGAAAAAAATCTGAAATTAAATTATTTGTTTTTTTTGGCAGGTTATTTGCTTGCAGTCAGTTGATGACTTTGATAATTCACCAGCTAATTTTTGTATTAATTGTTTTCTTTTATTAAGATTTTCTTCCATTTGCAACCATGTCCAATCAAGTTTAAAAAAAGGGTGGAGCATGGTTGCTATAATATTATCATCTTCAAATAAGGTCACAATAAACCTAGAATTATTAAATATTTTTAATTTATTATATTAATTTACCTATCCTCAATCCCTTTAAGTAAGGCATCTAAGAGTGGTAAACAGAATCTCAGGTTCATTTCTTTAAAATTCTTTAATTTGATAATAAGTTGTGAAATAGTTGCACAGTAATAAGCTGTGTACATATACTTATCTCCCTGCAAAATATCAAGGGAATTAGCTATTGGCTTCATTAGCTAATTTAAAATAATGCTATATATATAAATATTATTTATAACTTACTAAACAATATTCATGAATAAAATCACATTCATTAGGTAAAAACCTAGGTAGTTTTATTTTATCACATATCTTGTCTACTTTGTCAGATTTATCTTTTATAATTTCTGACATTAATTGTAAGGCATTATAGGTGGAGTTCCATCTAGTTATATTAGGACATATAAAATAACGACCAATATATTCCTTAATAATCTCAGATGAAATAGGAGACTTATTTTGCCTATTCCATATATTTTGGCATTTAAGTAGTGTTGTGCTATATATCTAATGAAGAAAATATTGTATTATAAAGATTTGATATAGAAATTGGCACAACTGCTTCATCTTCCAGATCATCAATTGATTCACTTGTATTATTTTCAATTGGCTTGAAAACTCTTTAATAAATTAAGTAATCAATCATATATTATGTTTATATTTATTTATAATAAAATAAACCTAAAACATTTTTTAAAATTTTTGGCATTATCTGTAATGGTCTTTGAAATTTTATTTTGAATGCAATAATCCTTAGCTATATCTTGTAAATTTTTTGCTATTTTATCATATGTATGACTACCAGTCATTCTTTTACAAGCCAACGCTACATTTTTTCTTTCCAAACTTATTGGATTTATATAATGAGCGGTTACTCCTATATATGAACTAGAAATTAAAATTTATTAAAATTTATTAAAATTGCTGAATTAATTATTCTTAATTAATTATTATACAAATTGAAATGTTAACTATACCGGCGATAGGCACTCCAACAATCTGCTGTTGTGCATATTAATGATGGTTCTATAAGACTTTTAATTATTTCTTTCTTTTCATTTTCCCATCTTTGGGAAATTCTACCAACAACTGTCTGTCGGCAAATTATATTTTTGTGTGGAGCCAAAGTGTTGATCATTTTTTTAAAAGAAGGATTTTCAACAATTGAAAATGGCTGCATGCCATCTATAATAAAAGCAATAATTAAATCATCTAAAGTGCCTTGAGTTAAAGTCAAAGGTCTTTTAGCAAAAATATTGATGGAGGATGAGCCTTGTCCAGTATTTTCTTTGGTAGTTTTATTTTCCTTCCCCTTTTTTATTTTTGTTAACAAGGTTGGATGTTTTCTCTTAAAATTTAAATTAGAATTTTAAATATATAATATCTATACCCTTATGTGCTTCAAGATATTGCACGTTGAAGTCATACTGACGGATATTTTTGTATTTTTAGGTAGACACGGCAAACATTTTACCATCAGAGAATTGTTTTCTTTGTTTTGAGATATTATTTTTAAATATTCTCTATAAATTGGCCATGGTAAAGCAATAGAACTTGTTGTTGCTTCCTCTTCTTCATCGATATAGATCTAAATAAATATATAAACTTAAAAATTTAGTTATAAAATAAAATTTACCATTTCCATATTGTAATATTAAAATTTGTATGGTTTAACTCGGACATAATATTTAAATTAATGAATATTTATATATATTTTTTATATATAAGTTTTAATATTTTATGTATATATAATTCTTTATTATAATATTAATAAATATTAATATATAATATATATATATATTTATTTATTTCATAAGCTCATATGAAATAAAATAAATTTTACAGTCAAATATTTTTAAATAAAAAAAGGGGTATATAAAATGTATCTGAAAAGTATCTAAAAACAGATACAGATACCTCTAAAATAATATCTAGATACAGATACAGATATCTTTCTAAAAAATCTATCTAGATACAGATACAGATACTGCATTTTTATATCTAGATACTTTAACAACTCTGGAGATAAGGGGTATGCTATCCAGGCGTAGGGCTTTATTTTTAATAAAAAGCCCCACTGGTTCAAAAGTGAATGGTATATTAACATTTGGTAGCTAGGAGAATGTTGTTAACGGATTTAGATTTATTGCGAGGTTAGAGTCCGCGAGAGAACTTGCAGTGCTAAGGGAATTAGGTATTTGATTCGATGGGCTCTGCCCACAATCGACGAATATAGAGGTTCTAGACGGAGAGCTATAGATATAAGTTTGTTGGCCAGTCATTTAAAATAACGAGGGTAAACTCGGGGTAGCTTACAACCATTCAAAGCTAAATTGTTTTTTTTTTAATATTTATATATTAGTCAATCTTTCCTATTTTTCCACATCTACTAAAATATTAGACCTCGTCCTATACTTCTATCAATCCTTCAGATAAAATATAAATTCAAAAGACATTTGATTTTATAGCAAGTTAGTAGAGTTTTTAACTGAAGGGAATTTTTATTTTAATTTTAAAATTATTAAAAATGGAAGTTTGACATTTCGATTTGATTAATCATATTATATACGTTTTCCTGGAAAAGAAATTATAAATTAAACAAATTGCAATCAATGTTAATTTCTATTTACGAACACTTTGAATATTTTAAGGGTATTTTTAGATGTTTAGCTCTGGTTTCTAATAGCATCCATTTTTTTAAGAAATAAATAGTTTTCAAATTTTATATTTTTTCTAAAAAGAAAACAAGCTGATCTTAAATTACAATTTATAAACATAATATACCTAGAGGAACCATAAATCGTTTTTTTTCCTCATGATTAATTTTATTTTTCGAATCAATACATTTTTATATATTATAAAGAAATTTATTATAATTCAATTTTTTTTTTTAAACAAATAAAAAAAAAATGAACATTCAAATGAATTCTCGAGAGAGTATTAAAAAAAAGAATTCATTAGATTATATCTAATTCTAGTTTTTATATATATTATAATAATGCATACGATTTAAAGGCTAAAATCTTATATTTATATATTAATAATATAAATCTTTTCTGAATCATAAAATTATCGTTATACATCCAATCCCCCCTCTCTGCAATATCCAAGTGTAATTTTGTTTTTTTGCGAATTTTAAGTAGAATTCTTGGGGGTTCTTATAATTTTTTGTAGAGGCTAGAAAATGGTTTTTATTCGAGTGTATGCCTACACAGAAAATATTGGAACATATATTTTATTTTTTTTTTAATAAAAATTTACATTAATATTTCAGGAAACCTATAATTAGAAAAAGTAATCGTTCGTGTTAGACAAAACAAGTATAGTTGTTGGGGTGGATGAGTCCCATCCTTAAAAATGAAACTAATTTTACGCAAAAAAATTTCTGAAAATGTGAATAACATTGAATTTGGTAAATAAAAACCAGGAGGCGTATTGCGAGGAACCTACGGGGGGATAAGCCCCCACACCGCTATTATTATTTATTTTTAGCCCTCTTTCCAAATTTCGAGGAGGAATGAATTCTCACCACCACCAAAAAATTTGTTTTGTTAGGTTAATTTAAAACAATATTAATGATATTGGCGTTAACACTCAAAGGGTATGTATATAATAGATAACCCAAATGCTTTTAGAAAAAAAAAATGAATGTCGTTCAGTCCGATCTCCATTTCAAAGAATTGGTATTTTCAGGATTTCAAAGAATTGGTATTTTCAGAATCAAAATATTGATTATTGGGATAGTTTGAGAGAAATTAAAAAATATTTATCAAACACATGTATATTTGTTGGTAGGGTAGAGCGGAATTCGGATAATGGAGGAAGCTTTAAAATTTAGACTCGCGTATCTTAATTTTGAAAAAGGTCAATTTATCCTGAAACAATGTGTTAATTACAGGGATGTGAACCCGGTCCTTGAACCCTCCTGAATCCTGGTATTTTAGCTGTGCCCGTTAAAAATTTTAAAAATATTTTTCCAAAAATAAATAATTTATTTTTTTCGAAAAATCACTTTTATCTTTTCCCATTTTTCGATTCTCTTGTTTTTATAACTTTCATTTTATCGGTTAATATCTTGTTTCAATTCATAACAATTTTAGAAGGTGACATGTGAGAAATTTTGTAGTGTAGGTAATAATATTTTATTATAAATGATAATTTTATAATATGCTGTATAATAGAGATACTTTGCTTAACTTGTTTTATGTCAATTATATAGAAAGTGAAATATTGGGGATTTTGTAGCAGGCGCGTAACCAAGCCCCTCCTCTCCCCCCTTCCCCATAGCAATTTTTCCTGCTCTCGTAAATATCATTTTAAGGTAATAAATTTTTTTTACCCTACACAGTGCTCACCTCAAAAAAATGTAAACAATATATAACAAATTTGAAAGATAAATTAGTAAAAGTTAATCACTATAAAATTTCTAGGAAAAAGTATTTTTATAAAAAAAAAGTAAAAACCTAAGATTATTTTTTATCATAAGTGAAAGGCTTACGATAAGTGGACTTAATGATCTCAATAAAATTTATGAGGAGAAACCCACCTAATAATGCCCCCCCCCCCCACTTCTAATAAAATTTCTGATACGCTTATGTTTTGTAGTGTGGGTAATAATAAGAAAAGTAGTAAACGACTATATTTTTTTCTTCTTTCTTTCTTTCTTTCTTTCTTTCTTTCTTTCTTTCTTTCTTTCTTTCTTTCTTTCTTTCTTTCTTTCTTTCTTTCTTTCTTTCTTTCTTTCTTTCTTTCTTTCTTTCTTTCTTTCTTTCTTTCTTTCTTTCTTTCTTTCTTTCTTTCTTTCTTTCTTTCTTTCTTTCTTTCTTTCTTTCTTTCTTTCTATAAGAACATATTGTGTAATTTTATATTTATTTATGATCTCCAAACCCTGAGCCCAAACCCTTTTTTAAATTTTATTCCTAAACCCAAACCTGGGTCCGATCCTTTTTTTTTGTCTAAGGGTTCACATCTCTGGTTAATTATGGTGCTACCTTATGAATTATAGACAAAATAGTGGGTTAGTTAACTCAAATTAATAAAGATAAAAAATCGATACAAAAATTAAGTTCAAAATTTAAATTGATTCGAAATCTTACAACAGGATTGGTGTGAGGATTCATGGGGCATGTATATGGGTAACTATATTCATTCAGTGGAAGGTAAAATAGAATATTTAAAAATGAAAAATGTACACTATACAAATGAGTTAAATTTTTAAAGATTCTTTCATATCATACTAGTTGCAATGCCTCATTAGTGTGATTCGGGTAAATTTAAAAAAATGATATAACCAAAATAACATAATGCAAGCATAAAGATTTTACACATAGCTGGCAGAAATGCTTGGACATCTATTTTACAAATTTCGATGCTTACATAATATTATTTTAGCTAAAATCTTATTCGGGCCGTTTTGAAAAATCGACCCAAATCGGGCTTTTTAACAACACTACGCATTATGTTAAATTCCTTAATATCCTTAAAACATAACTATAAGATTAAAGCGATGGAATCCATATTGAATCAAGTTAGAAATATGTATAAGAAATATAAATGGCGATTATATGATCAAATATATTTGACTATAACTAAATAAGTCAGCTTAGTCCTGAGAATTTATTTCAAAATGCTCTCCTATCAATATTTTCTAGGCCTATTCAAAAACAAGCATAACTTGAATAGAATAGTGTATATTTGCGATCGGCTATTTTAAACAAATCAATTAATTTCCTATTCGTATGTAAAATAATTTTTTACTATTTGTGTTCCATTCAAAATAATTAGTTCTTTTTGAATATTATAAAATATAGTTATTAAAAATTTTACTATTGCACTGTTATGTTATTTAGCCTAAAAATTGTCATTAATAAAATAAGCTGTTAGTTGCTATAAAAAGAGAACCTGTGTTGAGCTGATCAGAATAATTGATTAAAAATATCTGATTATACCATTTTTCGATATCCCTTTCTTAATCAACTATTTTTTTCCCCCCTGAATGCATTATGCATAACATAATTTAAGAGTCTTGTAATATAATGATTACTGACGAATTTAAGATAATTTAAGATAATTTATAGAATATTTAAAATCTTTTGAAATCAGTTTTAAAATGGTATGTTATTATAAGTATAAAATTTTTTTACAATTATCCTTACTTAAAATCCGTTTTTATAACTAAAGGAATGTTGATGATTGATTTTAAAAAACCACTAACTTCTAGAACCTATTATAATGATTAATATGAGGATATTGTTATTCCTTCTCATTTTACAATGCTCTTGGAATGTTTGCAAGTAATCTTTTCCTTTAACTGTCCTATATTAATATTGTCCTTTTTGGGAAATCAATCTCATCATATCATAATTATCTAAGATAAAATTATTCAAGTTTTATTAATTTTTTAACCAAGCAAAATTATCGAATAAATTTTATTAGAAATCAAATAATTTACTCATTTATATTCGAAAAAAACGAATAATCTACTATTCGATTCAAATTATTCGATTTATTTTTTGAATAGTCATCTGCGGGTCTCCTCTCTCATCCCCCCCCCACCCCTCATACCTTTTAAAGTTGACCCATCTTCTAAATCTTTTGCATACCGCGTGGTAATATTATTGATTGATTGAATGATTCTTGAAATTAAAATTTTTTAAAAAATGGATGAAAATCAATATAAAAAAAATAAATAAATAATTTTTGTATAAGAAGATCTTCGAAATAGGGAATCGTTACTTCTTCGAAAAAAAAAATATAGAAAGTGTGCGCATTCATTCAAGTATACTTAATTGCTCACAACGGCATAAATAGTAAAGGGGAGAAAAAAAATAAATAATTTCAAATAAAAATTGATACAGTGTCAATCATCGACAATTTATTCCATAATATTCATCAATAATATTAGACTTATTATTTTGATTTATTTATTTTTTTTTCGATTTCATTATTAAATCGTCATTTTACCCCTATTATATCATAATATAATAAATATATATATATATATATAATAAGCTTATAAATCCCTTTATTCGTGACTTAATCATCTGATAATGATTTCAGGCCAACCCAATCTGGGACTCGATGCGAATGATAAAGAGGGGAAAAATACACACGAAGACCACAATGGATTCTTACTCGTTAAAAAGATGGGGAAATTTAAGAGATTTTTAACTACCTTACAGCAAAGAGCTCATGATATGTCGCCAGAAAATGGAGTTGTGGTTAGAAACTTAATTTTGGAACTAGTGGTAAAAAAAATTCTTTTTTTAAACAAATATTTATTAAATAAATTGTACAAATAACAAAATAAAAAATTAACTAAGCTGTAACAATCTAATCAATTTTTTCTTAGTGGCGTAGCTAGGAGACAGAGATTAGATCCCCACCCCCATTTAAATCGATGATATATATATACCACACCCAATGTAATTAAAATATAAAATGGATACTGACTATGCTTTTTTACAATTAGGGGTTGGTTACTCCTTGAAATTTCAATAAAGTCATTGGATCCTAATGCCGTGTTAAAGGACTATTTAGGGGAGGGAGTAAAATAGTGGATAGAATATTTATATTTAATGAACAGGCGCACAAAAATATTCCAAATTGACCAAAATATCTTCTTTTTTTAAAAAAATAATTCACATTAGATTTAAAAAAATATTTTGTAATTTTAAAAGAAGATTATATATATTAGCCATTCTTTATATACTATATAAATTTTTTAAATAAAATTCATTTCTTTTTTGTCAGAATAATGTGATTTCACTTGATCAATTTATCGTTAGACTTGAAAAACACTCACAAATCATTTTAAAACCTTTTGTGGCCACTTTAATAAAAGTATGCAACAATGTATAATTACAATATATTTACACATAGGATTTTTATACTTTTAACTTATATCTAATGCTGATTTTGTAATTTCTTTTTTTTTATAATATAAGGGTAGTCTGGCAGACCTTCGTAAAGAGCTTTTCATATATACAAGGCAAAATAGATCGCAAAATTCTTACATAGCCACCTACCACAAACCTCATCCTCTCCCAAAAAGCTTTTATTTCGATAGCAATAACTATTTTAAGGCCTCTACTTCTATGACCGAAGTTAAAACATGTGCTAAGTCTACGAACATCCGAGGGGATAATGGCGATTTTTACAACTTCGCCGATTCTAGTGGTAATTACGATGTATCTTATAATTATTTAAATTCTAGTACCTGGAAATCCACTTTCCCTAAAATGATGACAGTGAACGGGAATCCGAACACCATGAATGCTATATGTCCGTTCAACACATTCTTAGCTAGTATCTACCACGATATTAACAAAAGAATCTCGTTTATTAAACCCTCAAAAATGCTTGCCAACATGCCACCATATGTTTCTCCGAGCAATAAAAGCATAAGGTTTAGTCCTTATGTTGCCCATTTGAACGATACTAATAATAATAGAGGATCAACGCTTAATATTGATGTGAAAGCTTTCGATTTCGGAGACTCGGCACAAACAAGTTTGGATTTACCAGTAAAATTAGTTAAAGATATTATGACAAATAATGACGCGGATATGGTAGAGAGCGATAATTGTAATGCATTGAGCAAATTTGGAGTCGAATGTTGCTTCCGTAATATGGATGAGAACGTCAGCCACTCGGTTATTTCGAAAGAATATGCTGTAAAAAAAAGATTCAAAGCGAAGAGAAGGCACAAAATTAAGCTATGTAGTGTTTCGAAAGAGGCATTAACAAGAAAATACTTAAAATCCAAGATTAATTTATCCATAATATTACTAAACCAACGAAATGGTCCCAGGAATGAGATATATGGTTTAAAAGTTAAAGGTTCTATCTTCATTTATTTTATGATAACTATTGAATGTTGTTTTTTTTAAAATCATATTACACGTTATTTATCCTATATTCATTTTTCATAATGAAAGGAAAAATAAGCAAAAAAGTGACAACCCAAAATCAGAATACATCTACTGTTATGATTGGTCAAAGTTTTAACCAACCTCGATACCATAACACTATTAAGGTATTTAGAATTAGATCAAATATAAATGTCGTTGTAAATTTTATACATTGTATTAACAATGCGAGGTACCTAGAAGATCTAAATTTTTTTACGCTAGTTCAGTCCAACACTTTCTTCTAATTTTTTTTTTTTTACTTTTTAAACATTTAAAGATAGTCATCATATATTTTTGTAATAGCAGACATTTAAGATATAGGACCGTGGTCAAATGGAATGGATTTTGTAGAAAGGTTTATAAAACTTCTAAATATTGGTTACAATGTTCTAGTAATAATTCTAACAGTAGTCTAGCTCTAGGGTCTCTACGTCTGTAAAACAAATTATATAATTTTTTTAAAATTCGTTTAAGTTTTCTTTATTATTTACACCTTAGCATCATCGAGGCCCTATTAAAAACAAGCACCCTCTTAAACTATAATATTTCTCAAAATTAAATATATGTTTTACTCCAGGTTCTCCCTCAAATAAGATTTGTAAAAATTTTTTTAAATTCAATTTAAATCATATGGGAAGTAAATTGTTTAAAATATTGTATATGAAAAAATTTTAACCTACAAATATATATAAGATTTTTTTAAATAAAAAATAAAAATTGTTATAAAATTTATCATGAAATTTTTTATACCTTTAAATATTCATATATTATATAACACATATTAGTTTCATGTATAAAGCTAAATCAAACTTTGAATTTTATCAATCGATAAATTAATAGAGAAAAAAAAAATCTATTCTCGATAATATACAAATTTAAATATAACTACGAATAAAACTTAAAAAATTATTCTTACTTGGCCCAGTTCTTGAAATATATTTGGTACGCATTATGAAGAAAAATAATATTAATTTGCTAAAATATCAGCTTTATAAAAACATTTTCAAAACTTCAGCTCAGCCCGTAAAAAGTATTTTGCCCAATTTTCGGATTTCGGGTTATTGTAGGCTGCACCGATTGCTAATAAAAAAATATTTGTTTATCAATTTTTGGGATTGGATCCGGAGATCACACACAGGAAACATTGTATGCTAAAGGCGGCATTTATAGGGGGATTTGAACCGACACCATTTAACAACTGATCAATTTTTAAAATCTGTATATTACACCATTTTTTCTAATATTAATATTAATTTTATCTTTGATCAGCTATATGAATGCGGCCTAAAACTCTTATTTGATTTGATTATTTTTTTTCTCGCATTTCTTTAATTATAAATAGGACATCTATTTCTATACTTGACTCAAACTTTGATAAGTGTGATGATCATTTAGGCAAATTCAATGAATATTCTAAAAAGAATGACCATGTCCTGGTTCGTCTTATTCCTAAATGTCAGTTTAGCCGCCTATACAGATTTCTCGAAACAGCTAAGAATATGAGTGTTTGTTTTATTTTTTATTTTTGACGGGTAAATTCTCTCTTTATTTCAATAGTTGCTGTACAGGAAAAATATAGGAGTAATAATATTTATTTAAATTTACAAACTTAAAACAAACCAACATAGGGTGTCCTAGTTCAAAGTCTGTTTAAAACTAGGCTAAACAAAAATAAGTTTCAAAAATATGGCAAACCAGGACTCGCCCTAAGAAAGTATATACCTTAATTTTAGATTAATAATTGATATTATTTATTTTTTTTTCCCAATTTATTGTTACATGCATAAAGAATATAACCTGTATAAAAAAATCGTTGAAGAAGACCCAATTCATCTTAAACAGATTAAATAAGAAGCTATTGCAAGAAGAGAGACTTCTCAACAAAATAACTAATATTTGCTAAAACAAAAATTACAACCTTACACTTTTTTTTTAAAATATCAGTAAAATTGAAATTATTGATGCATATCATTTTTAAATAAAGTTATATTTATATATATATATATATAATCCATGTACACTTTATTATACTATATTTTTGTTATAGTCTCTTTTAATTATTATACCTAAAATAAAACAGGGTTAAATAATTGAATAGTTGTCCACATTATTAAATAAAAATCATCATTTTGGGGCTTGGATTTGTCTATGGCCGTTCAATAAGTCTTCCCATGAGTTTTGTTTCAAGCGGTGAGATGCATGTTGGGATTATATTTTGTTAGATTCAGTGAGCTTATATATATAATATCTCATGCCCGTTACTTTTGAGGTCCATCATGAATAAAATTGAAAAGGTTAAAAGTAATTTTCTGTTAAATTTTTTTCTTCTTTATGACTTGGACAAAGGATCTAAAGGCAAGTTTTAACAACACATGCATTAGGGTGAAATTGCTTGGTAGACTGATTTGAATTTTACCCCATTTTTGCACCCATATACATTTAATGTATATATATTGGGGACGACTCCTTTTAAAAATAAGATGAATCTAATCAAACTTTTTGGTTAAGGCTTATGTTTATGATGCATGTAGATAGGGAATAATCTGGTTTTATAAATATTTATTTTTGAGCTTCATGAACCATAAATTATGTGTTAGCTTAGTAACATAACTTTATTAGACTAAAGGTTTTAATGCAAATTTTGATTAAATGGTTGGACAGTAGTGGTCGGGGATCTCACACTATTGACTAATTAAAAAAATAGATAGCATATTTGTTATGATGATTGCCAAACCAACCCTAACCTTTTTTTTCTAGTGGGACTAATATAATATGACTATTTTTTAATTTTCCGCTATATCTAAATAATTTTAAAAATTATAGCAACACAATTTAATGAATATTTCTTGTAACTTATAAATATTTAAAATATCATTTTTTCTGACTTATTTCTCTCCAAAATTCAAAATTAGTGTGGTTACTTTTTCTACCTTTGAACAATTTTTGAAGTTAAAGTTAGATTACTCAATCTATATCTAATCATTTGTAGAGTGTAAATATGTTTTAATTAGCTTCAATCTGAAGACGTAGCTCTTGACACTACCAATAAATATCGGTATTGTCATTAAAATTATAGAGAACAACAAATATATTCCAAAATACAGATTTAAAATTATGTATATATATCAGAGACCTGCATGCCCGGCGGCTTTGGACTGGGTCGTATATTAATTTTTTTTAAATACCCGAGGGTTTGGCCGTGTATTTTAAAACCGAATATTTTCAATCGCCATTATTAGCTATAAAGATGAAAAATTATTGTAATATTTTTTTAAAAATCTGGCTGGACCACCGCGATAAATGATACTCTTGTTGATCTCGGTTATATATATACTGTATTCTAAAAGATCTTTTGATCCATCATGTTTTTTTCTAGAAGGGAAGTAAATAAATAAAAAACATAATAAATAATTAATACAGTCTCACAGTTTTTAAAAAAAAGGTTATCTGGAATATTATTTATAACGGGCATTTTATTATTAGAATTAAAATGTTTGCCGTGATTTTATAATTTATAATAGAAATCAAAGCCTTCTTCGATTGGGAGCGAATGGCTGCAATATTCGATAGCAAACCCCAGTCTAAGCATATGAAAATTTAAAGTACATGCACACGGCCTCTCGCGTTGTTAAAAAAAATTTATGGTATGAGCCCAGTATCGGCTCATATTTATTAATAAAAATCTAACCAAGCACGTGAAACAATAAAATTAGAGCTCGGCTCCGAACTAAAAAGAATAATTTATGATATCTACTAAAGTGTCTAGGTTTTGAAAAAATTAATATTGCTAAAATAGATTAAGTGCTTCAAGAAATAGTTTACAATAATTTAGGCATGTAAACCATAAATGAGTATACTCCATTTTAAGTAAATTTTTTAATTTAATTTTATTAGGTAAATTACTGATCTGCATCGGGCCTAATTTTTAAAGCCCGGCCCGAACCTAAATTTTTTAAAGAAATTTTGCAGGCCCGGCCCGAACTCGAAGTTTTTTTTAAGAAATCAATTTTTATAATTACTCAAAATAAAAGACATATGTTATATGGCGTCTAATTCTATAAATAAAGTCAAATATTTTTATTTAGATAAAAAATTCAATATAAAATTGATAAATTTAAATATATTTAAAATAATTTCCAAGGCCCGACCCGATCCGGCCCGATTTTTTTAAAAAATATTAGGCCAGACTTTTGCAGATCTCTAGTAAAAATATTATAATATTGTTCATTAGATCTATATTAGTTATGCTATCTATAATTTATTTCTAAAGTATAAATAAATAATAACTTAGCCAACCCACATCCATAGATCTGGCCCAAGAAGCTAGATACCGACCGGCGTAAAAAAATAATGTTTTTTAAAAATTTTGTCAAATGATGAATAACTTAGCCAATTTTAATGAAATTTATAAGTTTACTAGAAATAGTATTTATTTAAGTTTCTTCACAGAAAATTAATGGAGATAAATAATTTCAAAATTATTTATCTTTTTCGTCGGAATCAATTGTCTCGTCCAAATTTCTTACGATTTATTTGAACTTGGCTGACCTTCTCTAGAGATTTTGAGTGTTACAACATAGGGAATAGTTTCCTTCTTAGCTTTCCTTAGTCTTCAGATATCAAATTTTTGCAAAATTAAACCAGAATCTTTCTTTTGTATAATAGCTTTTTGCAATTGCATGGTTCGATAATTCCAATTCTTATTAAAAAAATTCGCGTTGCGGCATTCTATGTTATCCTAAAAAGTAGTTTTATTACAATAAGATGAACCTTTGGTAGCTAAGGTATAACTATAGAGTAAATTATCAGCTTTTCACCAAAAAATTTTAGGCCCAATTTCTTTGCTAAACAATCATCTGCAACAATTTCTCATAAAGAAACATAAATATGTTTGTAAAGCTTCAAAATAAATCTTTGTTTGCGCCACCCAATATATAATTATATATTCTAATTTAAAATGATTATGAAGATTTTTATAATTTCCTGCCTCATAATTATTTATTATAAGAATTTTCACTTTTTTGGGAGAATTTTTACATAAGTATTACTTTCAAATCATTTCTATATTCAAAATAAATATAATAGAAGAGAACAAACGCATTGTTTTGCTTAAAAAATATACCTCATTTAAATTAGTATATAACAAGTTAATAGAGTGTAGATAAATTTATAATTTTGTTTGAAAGATTTTTTAATCTCTTCTTTAATCTTAACTTCGCCTCAAATCTACTCTCCCAGATAGTATTACTTACTGTCTTGAGAATTAGATGTATTTTATAAACGAACCAACATTGTATCTTAGACAAAAAAAACATATATGAGCTTTGTATAATATGTTAAAAATGTTCATTCTATATCATTACCCGCATCATTTAAAATAAGGTTTATTGAACGATATGAGTATGAAATAAAAAGGCTAAATGGTTTATACCGAATTTAAATTGTGCTTCTGAATTAACCTAATAAATTGTTGCTTTGATATTTCCTTTCTTTCGTTTACTCAATTAGCTTAGAAGTGATTATTAGTATATCAATTCATTTGGTAAAGCACCTATAGTAAAGCACCTATAGTTGTTAGCACAATAATGTATCAGATCCTTAAAACTGTGTAAACGCCTTCTCTAGTTCCTCATATTTTATTTTCCAATATTTTAGCCTTCAAAATTTATACAAAATTAGAGTAACTCCGCGTCTTTATATATGAGAAATTTAGATAGTACGTCTTGGTTTTTCTTTTCACCCCCCCCCCCCCCCCCCCCCCCCATATTTTTAAAATTTTTGATTTCTACCTACCTAGGAGTCTAGCTTACCTTAGTGGACGTATTGGGTCGCCCTTTACAAATTTTATTTTAAAAAGAACTATCCTCATACACTAATCAATTTTATTTAAGACTACCTTTGATTTCAAATTTCGTAAAATTCTATTATCAAAAAAAATATTTCAATTTTCATAAAAAATTAATAATATTAAATCCATAGAATGATTTTTAAAATCTGCAATTATAAATTATCTCCCCTCTTCTACAATATTCTCATAAAAAATGATTGCCCTTCTTCTTTTTGATAAAATAAACAAAATACAAAACTAATTTTAAATAAAAAAAGTATGTCCTTTAAAAGAATACGACTATAATAAATCCAAATTTAAGTGTTTCAAATATTATTCAAGATCACAAATTTTACTAGTGGCGTAAAAAATAAAATAAAAGTTCTTCAATTTTATTAATTTTATATTCATTGCAATTATGGAAGAAGATATGGTATTCATTACATTTTATTTATAATAATAACTTTTCTATAAATATTTATAACTCTAATGATTTATATGTATATATTACTCTTATCAAGTTAATTAAAAATAATATTTAATTATTGCATCATAATTTATAATAACTATTTTAAAAGTTTTATACCTCATTATTTTTGTTTAATATAGAGAATTTATTAAATAATAATATATATTTAACCAAATGTTTGTGAAACCTCCAAAATTTTAATCATACAAAAAATATATTTTAGCTCTTTAACCCTATCATGAAAAAGAAGAAGAAAAAGAAAGATATATCTCTAGAGCTTCAGGGTGATGACCTTAAAATTGAAAGTAAATTATTTCAAAATTTTTTTATATTTGTTTATTTAGGTGATAATAAACCAAAAAATGCATTTAATATGGAAGAAATTAGTGAAGCTTTACCAGTTAGTAATTTCTTTTTATAATCAATTTATATTTTAATTATTTTAATGGAATTAATTTCTTATTAAATTAATATATGTTACATTTGAATTTAGTAACTATTACTCAGGTTTACTTGGGTGGGTTAGTTTCCCTAAAATTATTATAGATACTAGAGTGCATTTTATTTTTTCCTTATTAGGAAACATTAAACAATGCAGAGGATGCTGAAGGTACAGATATATTTGATTTATCCTTAAAGAAAAAGAAGAAAAAGAAAAATGTTGTCACATTTGATGATCAAGATAATCTTCACATGAATGGTAAAAATATAGTTTTTATAATACAATCTAGTTATGTAAAATTGCTCTAATTAAAAATATTTTGGGATGATTCTAAAATGATGGCTAGAAAAAGTTTTTAATAAGAAACTATCACCTCTGTTTTTAAGATTTTTGCATAAAAAATAGCTTGAAAAAAGCCAAAAAATAACCCACATCAATGCCTATTAGATATATGTGACATGTTTTAATGTGCCTATTTGACAAGACTAATGCAATCTCAGTTATGGATAAAATATATAAATGTAAATTAAAATATTGAATCCATTAGTTAGCAATGATGGTATTTGGCATTTATTTATATTAACCACATTTTAAAAAATACTTATAGATTTGAATGAATGTATTTACGGGTTTGAATATATTTTTTTATGTAAATGTAAGTTGAATGGGAAGGGAATGTATTTGATTTTTGTTAGTGAACTATAAACTTGAACAAATTTGTTTTTTTTTAAATTAGCTGTTTCACATTCCAAGCTCCTTATTCATAAAACCCATTTTAAGAGGGTTGAATCTTTTTATTTTATGGTTTTTTAAGATTAAGTAAATATGGGGGCTTTAAGGACTGTCTAGTTCATGCCCTGACCACTAAAAATTTTGCATGGCCCAGAGCTATTTTGCATCAAAAAGAAAATAATGAACTTGAATAAATAAATTTTTGTTTTGGTTAATTAAAAATTCAAAATAAGGGGTTTCAACTCATTTATACCTCCTGCCAAGTTTTTATTAAAAGATGGAACTGTTTTAATGACACCCTTGTAAGATTAAATTTGATTCTACAAAAGTGGGGATATCCTGAAAAGCCTGTGGATGCATTTCTCTCAATAGTATTTGAAAAAAAATCAAATTTAAAGCTCATAAAATCAAAATTTATCAAAAATGTACATATATATCATATTTTATAGAATATAAGTCTCATCCAAACATTAATTTTATAATTAATTAGGTTTAGATGAAGATACACATGAAGCAAGTACATTTGCAAATGAGGATGATGTCACATCATCCTGGTCAAATACAGACAGAGATTATACCTATGATGAAGTAATTAAATATTAAATAAACCATAAACTCAATCTAACTTGCCATCATTTATAAAACTATCTAAGATGGCCACCTCAACTTAAACTATCATGCCACAAGGTGATATTTTGAATCAGTGTTTTGATCTGATTTTAATTAATAACTATTTTATACAATGCTCGATCTTACACACTCTAGGGTGTACTGATGTTTTTTAAACAATCTAAATTAAAATATTGATTTTATCTTATTGGTTCCAAAACTATTTGATATTATCGCAGAACAAATTTTATAATTATCTTTTCTCCATCCAATTTGACCTGCCATTTTTTATTATTTATTTAATTCAAAATCATTTTACAATAGTGAATCTCTATTTGCCATTATGCAGGTGGATCATATTCATTTATTAATACAGTGCAAAAGAAATAAAAAACTCTTTCTAGATAGATAAGCATGTTTCTAACTTGAAAACTATGCTCAGAATATGGAAGTTAATATTCGATAACTTCTACGAGGGCTCATACATATAAAGTTTATTTAATAAAAAATAAGCAAACACCTTTTAATAAAAAACTTAAAAAATTGTTTTTAAATTATGTTTTGGGTGTTGATTTGCTTCCTCGAAAAAAAGACTTGGTATAAACTGGATAATAATTCTATTAAAATATATATGTTAATGAATTAAACTTCCATTTTTTAAAGCTTTTACTGCGAGTATTCGAAATAATGAGAGACAAAAATCCAGACTTGGTAGCTGGAGAAAAAAAACGTCTCGTTATGAAGCCTCCGCAAGTTGTCCGCGTCGGAACGAAAAAAACTTCATTCGTTAATTTCCACGATATTTGCAAATTGTATAAATCATTTCCTTAAATTGTTACGATTATATATATATCTCTATTTTTTAAAAAATATTTTCACTCTTTAGTGTTCGGTCTGTGATATAAATTATTCTCCAGCCTGCCCTAATTTTTAATCAAATTATCCCATTTGTCTTGGTGAAATTTATAGTGATCTCCTAATTTAGCATAAGCTAATATTGGCGAATTTTAGCTTATTTTTTAGGTTGATTTTAAAATATAATTGAACTCTACACTATCAAATTGTTAGAAAATTTTTGCTTAAAATTAACTCATTTTAAATTATAAATTAATTTTTGATAATTTTTTTATCCGGTGTACACGCGATTTCAGAATTGGTTGTAGTCCAACGTGTTAAGTGAATGAATAAAATATATTAAACTTATATATTATTTTTATATTATAGATTGCACAGACAACCCAAACATTTATTGGCCTTTTTACTTTCTGAATTGGGAACCAGGTGACATTTTTTTTTTTTAGAAAAAAAATATATTTATAGAAGTTATTATGTCATAATACTTAAAGTCAAATCAAACCTTTTCTAAAAAATTCGAATTTTTTTAATTATCACTTTGTCTAAACAACTTTTCCCTTGTACAGGGATTATTTTTCTTAGCCATTTTCTAATTAATTAAACTATTTTTTTTTCTTTTTTTACATCATAACTCTTTTTTTTATGTCTTAAGTGGTTCGGTAGATGGCAACAATCAACTAATTATCAAAGGGAAATTCCAGCAAAAACAGATCGAAAATATCTTGAGACGTTACATAAGTTTGATCACGTTTTAAATGATTTTTTTAAGATGCTAAAATCGCATCAAGATAAGTCTCTTTTTTTCTTCCTTTTTTTAGATGGGCACCAAATAATTTGTATATTTCATATAAACGTTTTACTTGTCCAAATCTCTCAAATAAGTCAATCAAATATTCAATGAAGGGGAAAAAATGGTAGAAAAGGAAAGAACGAATGCACTCATATATTTATTTACAAAGAAAGCAACTTTACGAGAAACTAACCCAAAAATTATTGAGCATTTGTTAATGGCATTTTTTTAAAAAACATATGTACTATTTTTTTTTACTCTAAAAAATTGATTGACTACTATGATTGAAGAAGATTAATTTAAAAACCATTTATTAATTTGATTTTAAAAATTAAATATGTCAACAGAGGAATACGTAACATGTCACACATGTCATAGTCCTGAAACGCTTCTGCAGAAAGAGACACGTCTCTTTTTTTTACAATGCGAGCGATGTGGGTCTCGCTGCTCGGTCGCCGCCATCAAGTCTGGTTTCCAAGCCGTCACTGGAAAACGAGCCGCAATTCGCGCCAACACTGCCATGGCTCAGACTGCCCCAGCTTAATGTATATGCATTTTTTTACAAATTTATATACTATCATCTTATATATTTTTGGTCTTGGTTGTAATAGATTATCCGTAGTGTTAAACATCATTTACCCCACTCCCCCTCTAGAATGAGAGGTTGATTTAGCATAATATATTTTAAAAAACTACAAAATTCTTGGTTCTCTCATTTATCTCCTTTTACATTTTGCTATATAAAAACCTTTTAATTAATTCTTATCTTATCGCACTTAACCATTTCAAACTTACCTTACTACCTTAAATACTTTATTTAATATCTAATAAATGGAATATTAATTATACTAAGGTTTATCTTTACAATATATTATTTAAATGTGAGTTAAAACAAACTGAAACAATATGCTAGATTTAAAATTTTTACACTTTAATTTTAAATTTTTTTTATTAAATTCCATAACATTTTTTATTCATAACAATTATATTTTATTATTCAACAGATTCTATTCGAGATAATGGCCTTATCGTACAAAATGACGCTATATCACCTGGACATTTATTATATTTAATTTTATGTTTTATTCTTATTTATACACATTTCTACAATGTTGCTAATAAATTTAAAATAAAACCTTGGTTAAGAACTAAAATATGCCTTAACCTATGTCTATTAAGAGTTATAAATTATATTTTAATTTTCAGGCATTTTATATATACTACTAGATTGGAGATTTATTATAGTGTTCTTACATAAGAGTCAGCTGTGGGGCCATTTTTTGCTTTGCACTTCTACTAATTGTCTTTATTTATTATTATATAAGTGCACATTATTCTCATTTAATCCATGTGCAAATCATAAAATGGCGATACAGCTGACTCCTATTGTACATTTTTAAATGCATTTAATGAATGAATCGCCAATCTAGTCATAATTGGACAAAATATAAAAAAAATCAAAATGGATAAGTAAGCAAAATCTGTGTCAGACTAAATTTTTATAGAAAAATTCTATATGAATCCAGAGAATTTAATTATTAAAAAACCAATCAGATTTTATTGCTTATTAAAACACAAATGAGAATAACATGATTCGTATGAGCCTTTTAAAAAAATTCAACTCAAGCATATTGAATATAGCAATTTTTAAATGACTCTTTTAATCATAAATTATAATTAATCTTGAAAATATGCCTAAAAAATTTTCATAAATATAAATTTGCAGGCTGGGTTATGTGAAATAATTTAGACAGAATGACGTCTTGTCTAAGACGAGTCTTTTTCTTCCTAGACGGACTTTCGATCTTTTATAACATCTATGTTCTATAGTAATCTTAATCTGATGATAATTATTTTTCCCTTGCGTTTATTACAACTAACTTCTTTTGCGTTTGATTTCAGGTTAGTTCCCCTTGTATTTTCTATTTTTGACATTCCTGAGCATCAATAAGATCAACTTTTCTGATATCCGCCGCTATCACCTTTATCCACGCTATTTTAGGTTTTCCTCGAGGTCTTGATCCTACTATCAAGGTGCTCTTTGCCCAGTCATCTTTTGTCTTACGTTCCACGCCCCCAAACCATCTTAGTATATTTCGTCTCATTACCACTCCAATCACTTCTATTCCCATTCTTGCTCACAATTACTTGCTAGTTTTTCTCTCTTTCAGAGATACCCCACACTAGTGATCTGCATCGGGCCTAATTTTCCAAGCCCAGCCCGTCCCGAAATTTTTTTAAAATAGTTTTGCCAGCCCAAACCCGAAATATTTTTAAAAAAGTTTTACCGGCCCAGCCCGAATCCAAATTTTTTAAAAAAAATTTACCGACCAGCCCGGTCCGAATTTATTTAAATATAGAAATTAATTTTTATAATTACTCAAAAAAGACATATGTTATATGTCGTTTATTTTCAACGGCCCGTACCCGATTATTCTCCATAATATTAGGCCCGAAGCCCGTTCGGGCCGGGCCTAACTTTGCAGATCTCTACCTTACACATCTCATCTGATCTTTTCAATTTGGCTTCTTGGGCCACTTTCATTACCCATGTTTTTCAGCTATAAACTAAACAATAACTCACACAGGTTATGTTAACTCCTTTTAACTTCATTCTTAGATTAGACGACATCTTTCTGAATTCCAAGTTTGTCTGACCCTTGCAACAACAGTAGAATCCACACCACGCGATTAGCATATAAACTAAATAGCACCCAGGGTTGACCCATTGCCAATAATCAAATCACCATTTCTTACGTTATCATTATTATGTACCTAGAGTTGTTTAAGGATCGACGATCTTGGAATCGATCCTAATTTTGGAAATTTACCCGGATTTAGGATTTTCTTTTGAATTGAGGATCGTGATCATTTTTTAAAATATTCGAATCTATTATAAAAAAAAATTACTTATAATAAATAAATTTAAGAAATTAAAATAAAATATTGTATTTTTTAAAAAAAATATGCCTTTATCATATTATTAGCATCCTCCAACATTTTTATATTTTTCTCATAAATTTTATCAAGACAACATTTACATATTTACAACCTAAAAATTTAATGTCTATTATGGATCTAGAAAACAATATAAGATCGTGATTTGGATTCGATCCATTTAATTGCATTGATTCCACAAACCTAAATGTACCCTTACTATACATGTTCCAGACCTAATTGTTTTTCCGCTAACATCTGATTATACACCCAGTTCTGGTATCTGGTGCATTGGATTGAATATCTACCAACTCTTTTCCCCCATACATTACAAGGTCAGTTGGTAGATTCATCCATCTTCAGATCTCCACTAATCCTAGCCTTTCTCTTTACTGCATTTTTTTCAGGCCCTTTGCTTTCATATATTTCAATTATTTCTCAGTGTTTGCCATTAATAGAATGTCATCTGAATATAGTAACTACCATGGAAGTTCTTCGCGCATCTCTCTAGCCACCACATCCATTATTTGATAAATAATGGACTCTACCTTCCCTTCAAAGCTTTCACTATCTGCACCATCTGCCCGTGTGTCGCATTCTCCTACATAGATTGCCTTTATCACTTACATTATATTATAAAAAAAATTAGAGTAAGAACTTACTTTTTAGTAATTTAAAATATAGTTAAAAAAAACCATAAAGTTGTAATTTATCTAATTCTATAGTAATCATAATATTTATTGTCAAGCATCATGTATTGTTTTTTTATATATATTACATATTTATTGGCACTGAGTGACATCTAATAAATCGACAACCGCTTTGATGGCGTCAATAAATGTATTAATTTCATGTTTCACCTATTTATGGTAAATACCATGTCAAATCAACATGAGCAATCCGAAGCCTATGTATCTAAAATTATATAAGATGCCTCTAGAATAGTATATAAATACAGATACTTCTTTAAAGTATATCTCGATACCATCCTTATCCAATGATTTATATATACCACTAGATAGGCGAATTCATTAAATGCATGCATTTGAAGGCATCTATGAAAACATGCACGATTAAATGACATGTGCATTCATATATTGATAAATAAAAAAATTAGTCAACGTGCAAACCACAAAATGGCGCTGTAGCTAACTCCTATATATGGACATTTTAATATCGTCATTCTAATAGCATACATACATCATTGACTAACAATTCTACTAATTATAAAGAATTTTATAAATTTTAATTATTTAAAGATATCTTAATAATTAATTGTAACTTTATTTCTTCCTATCTATATTCTCTTATTATATTCTACACACTCTATATATATCATCTAAAAATATAAATTAGAATACATATAATCAAAACGAAAAACAAAAGTAATAAAAGGTTAAGTTATAAAAAGTTAAATTATAAAAGATTGAATTGTAAAAAGTTAAATTGTAAAAGGTTGAATTGTAAGTTGAAAGGCAAAAAATAAGATAAACTAGTAGATAGCCTGTCAGAAATGACGGGGAATGAGAATTTTATTCGTTTTTTTAAGAAAGATGTTACCTTTTATTTTAAAATCATATCCAATTTATAATATTTTTAACCCCCCTCCCTCCTCATTTAGGTCAAGTTTAACCAATGTCATTGAGTCCAACCCATTAGGACTAAGAGTGGAAACTATTTTTTGAGTCAAAATATATTTAAATGAGCTTTTACCCAATATCAAAATTCTTTGTAAATATATTACTGATTACATAAGACTAACATTTATCATTAAAAAATTTCAAGCCAGGTCCAAGCTCATAATATTTGGAAAAAATTTCCAAGCGTCCAAGACCTTATAATTTTTAAAAAAAATTCTCAAGCCTAGCTCAACCCATAATAATTTTGAAAATTTTTTCCTAGCCCGGCCCATAATCATTTGTAAAATATATTCCCAAGTCAGGTGCAAGCAAATATTAATCTTGAGGAATATTTCTCAAGCCCAGTCCAACCCATATTAATTTTCATTTTCCCAAACCCGGAGATAGTTAAATTTCTAAATAATTTATCATCACATGAAGGGGAAATCACGGATTTACCAATTAGTGGGTTAACTCTTTTTATCAAAAAATTTGATAAGGGCTATCTATATCTTTGTGTTAAGTACAAAAAAATGCTATCTATTTAAATTACAAAAATGCCATTCAATACTAATGAAACTTATATGCAATTTATTTATATATTTTTTAAGAAATTTGTTTTTCTTGCCATATAAATTTAGGTAATTTTTTAAAAAAATGATGAGGATTATTTATTATTTTGTGTGTCTGATAAAATTAAGAGCAAATCCTTTATGACATTTTAATTTTTGTTGGAAAAAGCGACAAAATAAATCTGGGCAGTCGTCTGCAGAGGAAATAATTAATGTATAATATCATCCCATTTAAGGTTGTAGGTGAAAGTAATGAATAATGACGGATTACCAAAGCAGTGTACAACACCCATTGCGTGCTGATAAAGCTGAGGTCTTGGGCTACTCATAAAAGAAGAACGCAAAATGATATCTCTGCCAAAGTGTCAGTCTTGGTATCTCCCTCTAAAATAGAATCATGAACGACATTGTCAACTCAACCATAAAACGGTCGTAAGTATTGTTTTAAAGGCCATGACAAAACTACCACATATTTTCCCATTAATAATGTTAATGAAATTGGCCGCACTACACATTCACGTTTGAACATCTCTCTAAATATTCATGAAAGTTTTTCAGGGATTCGGATAAAGTATTATCTATATTAACTCCTAGTGAGGTGAATGATAGTGGAATTAAATGCTTATATTTGTTAAAAATTAGGCAGAGGTGGCATAGGGATTGTGGTAGTGGTGATAGAAATATCATTTGGAGGCAACTGGGTGAATATAAAATAAACATATAGATATAAAACATTAGATAAAAAACATATATAAACCTCCAGAGGAGTTCACAGTTCCTTATTGGCCACCAGTAATTCTAGAACGGGTAAGGCGTTTGTTGAATCGCTATTTTTTTCTTTGCTCATATTTAATAATAGATTCATCATGTTTTGTAACAATGTGAGGGACTAAGATTGGGTTATCCCAGACAAATAAAGAAATCAGCCACAAATATAAATAAACTATTGTTGATATTAAACAAACATTAATATACGGTAAACCTGTAGAGGAGTCAATATTAGAAGTATATTTCTAGTA